CAAGAAGTTGATGGGGAAGCGATTTTTTAATATATAGAACACAAGAGTTAGTAGATTTGAGGTTATATGCAACAAATGATGGTAATTTAGGGGGTTGGGATTTTTCAGGGACTCTGCACTCTTGTAGACATACAACATCAATGGGTTTGGTGGTTACTTTATGATGAAGGTCAGGAAGTCTTTTTCTAAGTGATGCAATATTCCAGCTTAATATAGAAAGTTTATGCGAGTTTTGATCCAATATAGTAGTCCTGGGATCATCTCGAGTTTCTCAGCATAATGAAAAAATTGTTCATATAAATAGCAGACCTTATCAATGTCAACAGTGCTACCCTTGTCCATGAGTTTTGTAAGTGCACTTCCAGTTGTAAGGCCTCGTGGGAGTCTTCGTAAACCCAGAGCACGACGCTGTTTATGTGTGAATGTATGATAGGTGACACCACCACTCACATTCCCTCCTCCACTAACATTACACGCAACACTACAACTCTCATCACCAGCGCCACTACCAACATTGTGTTCATTACATTTATCAACAGTATTGTATTCAACATTAATGTCTATGTGACTAACCTCATCACACTCTGCACCACCACTTATATTACGCTCATCACTATTACTAACATTATAGACACCACCGCTCTCATCACACTCTTCACCACCACTTATATTACGCTCATCACTTTTACTAACATTATAGACACCACCGCTCTCATCACACTCTTCACCACCACTTATATTACGCTCATCACTATTACTAACATTATAGACACCATTGCCCTCATCACACTCTTCACCACCACTTATATTACGGTCATCACTATTACTAACATCATTGACACCATAGCCTTCATTATGATGCTCACTACAGTTATCAACACAAGTATTATATTCGTCATTACTGTGATTAAGAACACCACCACTACCTTGTTCAGCAACCTTATACAGTGGACCCCCGGTTAACGATTTTAATCCGTGCAAGAGGGCTCATCGTTATGCGAAATAATCGTTATGCGAATGAATTTTCCCCATAAGAAATAATGGAAATCAAATTAATCCGTGCAAGACGCCCAAAAGTATGAAAAAAATTTTTTTTTACCACATGAAATGTTAATTTTAATACACACAAACTGAAAAAGGCATGCACAATTAAATGACACTTACTTTTATTGAAGATCTGGTGATGATTGATGGGATGGGAGGAGGGGAGAGCATTATCTTCTTACTGTTTAGAAGGGAATCCCCTTCCATTACGACTTGAGGTAGCAAGTCCTTTTCCGGGGTTACTTCCCTTCTTCTTTTAATGCCACTAGGACCAGCTTGAGAGTCACTGGACCTCTGTCGCACAACAAATCTGTCCATAGAGCTCTGAAACCTCCCGTTCCTTTACGATTTGTCTAAAATGGGCCACAACATTGTCATTGAAATAGTCACCAGCACGGCTTGCAACAGCTGTGTCGGGGTGATTTTCATCTATAAAGGTTTGCAGTTCAACCCACTGTGCACACATTTCCTTAATCTTTGAAGTAGGCACAATGGATTCCACAACTGGCATAGGCTTCTCAGGGTTAGCCCAAACCCTTCAAAATCTTTCTTAATTTCCATACTAATTCTCACCATTTTTACCACAGGGTTGGCACTAGAAGCTTTCTTGGGGCCCATGGTCACTTATTTTCCAGAAACAGCACCGAAAACACTGTAATAATACGAAATATTCCGAGTGTATGCTTGGATGTTACCGCGGAGGCTGGCTGGTAAACAATGGGACGGCCGGCACATGTGAGGCTGGCTGAGGGCACATTGGACGCGTCTCGGACGAAAATCGGTAAGCGGGTTTTTAATCGGTATGCGCGGCAAAAATTTTGCGATAAAAGTAATCGGTATGCGGAAAAATCGCTATGTGATGCCATCGTTATGCGGGGGTCCACTGTACTTGCTTTCACAAATTGTGACAATCTTGTTATTGGTACACTCTACACATCTTTCCTTGTGTTGTTCAAGTTGTTGTTTCAGGAGAAATTGTTGTGTTTCCAGTACTTTTATGCGCGACATCAGGTTGTATACCACAGGAGCAAGACTTGGAACATCTGGAGACGTGAAGTCCCGGTCAGCTGAGCTCCTTGGCTGACTGTCAGCTGACTCAGCTAGGCTGGTATTGACAGCTGACGTGATGGGGGTCTGTTGACGTGCTCCCCAGGTGAGGTGCTCAACCCCATTGTCTGAGGGCAGGCATGAGCCAGTATTCAGACCCGAGGTACCTGGTAGTCCTGAGGGGTCATTATGAGGGGGACAGGGTGAAGTGCGGTTGGCTGTGATGCGATCAGCCCTCACACTGCAGTCAGCATGAGCTGCTGTGACTCCTGAGGTCTTACAATTGATACATTGTTTAGCCACAGTCTGTTGCTGTTTGATCATATCATAACACCGTTCAGAAGGATGAGCATTGGCACACACTGCACACCAGTGTGACTTAGATGGGCATTTCCTGGCAATGTGGCCCCAGCGTTGACACTTATAACATCGACGTTGAGGAGGTCTGTACAATGCAATGTAATAGCGTCTGTTGAGGGCTGCGCGGGAGTGAATATAGCGTGGCAGAGTCCCCTGGCCAGTCCACTCAGCTAATATCAGACCGTTGGAAAGTCGACGAGGGTTTGCAACTTGCTCTGACGCCAGATATTGAGGATTCAAGTGCTTAATGAGGAGCTGATCAAAATATCGACTTGGATGACAGCCAATAAACTTACGCTTAACACTGACAAAACCTACTACATTATGTTTGGTAGCAGAGCAGGAGATGCGCAAATTAACATTAAGATCGACAACACTCTAATTGCCAGGCATAATGAGGGCAAATTCCTAGGCCTATACCTCGACAACAACCTGAACTTCAGCACCCATATCCAACACATAACCAAAAAAGTATCCAAAACGGTTGGGATCCTCTCCAAGATACGATACTACGTGCCGCAAACTGCCCTTCTCACACTATACCATTCACTTATATATCCATACCTCACCTATGCTATCTGTGCTTGGGGTTCAACTGCAGCAACACACCTAAAGCCAATAATAACCCAACAAAAAGCCGCAGTAAGAATAATCACTAAATCCCATCCTTGGCAACACACCCCCCCACTCTTCATAGATCTAAACTTACTCCCTGTTCAGTACATCCACACTTACTACTGTGCAATCTACATCTACAGGACCTTAAATTCCAACATTAACCTTGACCTAAAACGCTTTCTTGATAGTTGCGACAGAACCCACAGGCACAACACCAGACACAAACATCTCTATGACATTCCCCGTGTCCGAATAAACCTTTACAAAAATTCAATGCATGTCAAAGGCCCTAAAATCTGGAACACCCTACCTGAAAATTCTAAAACTGCAGACACATTCATCACCTTCAAAACTACCATCAGAAAACATCTTATCTCCCTGATACACCCTGTCAACTAATTACACGAATACCACCTGGTGGTTAACACTTACACTCACTCACCCATTTGACCATAAACAGAAATATCAATCACAATCTCAAAATAATGAATCTTAACTAGTCATAAGTTGGCCTGTGATACTCCAATACTGAAACTATGTATAGTGCCAAAACAAAAGCATTCACATTGTTAAACTCACAAACTAGTATTTAGTCACTTAGCCATAATACCAACTAACCTCATAATTTTGTAATATTTTAAACTTAAGATTTAATTTAAGTCTGCCCGAAATGCCTAGCCATGCTAGGTGTTCTAGTGGTACACTCTGTAATTATTATTTTACTACATGTAAACCACACAATAACCAAATTCTGTAAACTCAGCATTGTAATCCTTATAGAGAATAAATTTTGAATTTGAATTTGAATTTGAATTTAAAGTGGGAGTTGTCACAGTTGCTCTTTGCTGATGACACTGTGCTCTTTGGAGATTCTGAAGAGAAGTTGCAGAGATTGGTGGATGAACTTGGTAGGGTATGCAAAAGAAGAAAATTAAAAGTGAATACAGGAAAGAGTAAGGTTATGAGGATAACAAAAAGATTAGGTGATGAAAGATTGGATATCAGATTGGAGGGAGAGGGTATGGAGGAGGTGAATGTATTCAGATATTTGGGAGTGGACGTGTCAGCGGATGGGTCTATGAAAGATGAGGTGAATCATAGAATTGATGAGGGGAAAAGGGTGAGTGGTGCACTTAGGAGTCTGTGGAGACAAAGAACTTTGTCCCTGGAGGCAAAGAGGGGAATGTATGAGAGTATAGTTTTACCAACACTCTTATATGGGTGTGAAGCATGGGTGATAAATGTTGCAGCGAGGAGAAGGCTGGAGGCAGTGGAGATGCCATGTCTGAGAGCAATGTGTGGTGTGAATATAATGCAGAGAATTCGTAGTTTGGAAGTTAGGAGGAGGTGCGGGATTACCACAACTGTTGTCCAGAGGGCTGAGGAAGGGTTGTTGAGGTGGTTCGGACATGTAGAGAGAATGGAGCGAAACAGAATGACTTCAAGAGTGTATCAGTCTGTAGTGGAAGGAAGCGGGCACCACCACTAAAGCACAAAACATACAGAAGCAACAATCTTAAATTTGCCAAGCCAATCCAAAACAAAATTTTTATTCCCAAAACAAGAGAGTATCTATAGACAATCCATGCATTGAAAATGCCAAAGAAAGGACAACTATAATTTGCAAGAGGCTTGGAATAACTTAAGACAAAATAGTGGGTTTCTGCCCCAAACAGAACCACTGACAGCAAAGGGTGAATAGCAGTACAGTACTGCTAACTTTCATAAACATGAGAAATACTACATGTAGAATGAATTATGCATTGGGTTGTATGCAAGAAAGTACTGTATAAATAAAGAACAAACAAAATATACTGCATACACTAGTAAAGGGAATGTGAAAGACAATAACAGCAGTACAAGAATTTTAACAATCTTCTACAATATGCTAAAGTGGAACATAACTACCTGTACAAAGCATTTAGTCTTACTTGGGGTTTATGCAATTTCATTTTTCCAGTTGATGCGGAGTTGCAAGAGAAGGTATAAACTTTACGTTTTGGTCCTAAAATTGCATTAAATGCATTTAAGAAACGGCGGCAATCCTGAAAAATGCTAAGGAATAGTATAAACAGTCGCAACAAAATACACGTACTAACATTAAAAACTATAAAATTTCTAAATCATGAAAATAAGAGTGTGCGTCTGAGGCTTATGTACACACTCACTAACATGCTTAACTTATTACTTTACATATGCATCCCTAATATTTATCATATAACATCCAAGAAACACATCAAGCTATCCTCCTGTTTCAATCTTATGCTGCTTTCTATACTGACTGAGCATACTATTCTTGAGCCTTCTGCTGTTGGGAAGAAATCATTTTCAGAAAGAGCCTTTTCTTATATAGCTCCCAGACTGCATAACACATTACTAGTGTCTGTTAAGTGTCAGAAATTTGTTTATGTTTCGAAGTCTCAATTGAAAGCGCACCTCTTTCTAGAGCTTATGACCTGATTGATCATACTGTCACTCTTGATTTATTGAATATAAGCCTCAGTATTCTTTTAAGTGTCGTTGCTGTGTATATGGTTTGATGTGAGAGTCCTTATGAATTTCTCAAAAACAGGCACTTAAGAATTATAAAATCCAAACTTTTCTTTTTTTTTCCAACAAGTCGGCTGTCTCCCACCGAGGCAGGGTGACCCAAAAAGAAAGAAAATCCCCAAAAAGAAAATACTGTGGACCCTCGAGTTTCGGCAGCCTCGACTTTCGTGAAATTCGACCTTCAGCGAGTTTTTTTGGCAAAATTTTGCCTCGAGTTTGGTGATTAGACTCGTGTTTCGGCGACCGTCCAGTACCCATCCGTCCATCACCACACACACCAAGCCAGTCTCCCACGCCATTCACGCTCAGTGTGCCATTGTTTACCAACACGTGACCATCACCCCGCGGGTTCATACATTTCATAAAAATCCATTGTTTTTTGTGCTTGCAACTGCTAAATAAGTCATCATGGACCCAAGGAAAGCTAGTGCAAGCCCTCTGGTAAATAAAGTGAGGAACACGATCCAGAGGGATTTTGAAGGGTTTGAGGCAGACCCTGTCCCTGCCGACCCTCTGCCTGTTGTGGAAGGTGTTGTGGCATTGGGCAAGTCCATGGGGTTGGAGGTGAGTGACAGGGATGTGGAAGATTTGGTGGAGGACCACAGGGAAGAGCTAACCACTGACGAACTGCAAGAGCTTCAACTGGAACAGCATCAGACCACAGCTGAGGAACTTGCTTCAGAGGAGGAAGAGGTAGTGGATGAGGTGCCTTCTTCAAAGATTAAGGAGATTTGTGCCAAGTGGAAGATTGCAAATTTTTGTTGAAAAGTATCACCCTGACCAAGCTGAAAAAAAGCCATATCTGCAACATGTACAATGACAGTATTGTGTCCCACTTCAGGAAAATCTTAAAGAAATGCCAGAAAAAGACCTCTCTGGACAGATATTTTGTGCAACAGGGGTCCAGTGACTCTCAAGTTGTTCCCAGTGGCATTAAAAGAAGAAGGGAAGTAACCCCAGAAAAGGACTTGCTACCTGAGCTCCTAATGGAAGGAGATTCTCCTTCCAAACAATAGTGTACACCTTCCTCCTATCCCCTCCTCCCATCTTCCATCCACCCAGAAGTCTTCAGTAAAGGTAAGTGTAATGTTATTATTTTTTATATGCATGTACTTGATTTCTCATAGATTTCAGTATATAAATCTTAATTTAATTTGAAAAAAAAAAAAATTATTTTAATATTTTTGGGTGTCTCCATGGGGAAGTGGAACAGAATTAACCACACCCCGGCCGGGATTGAATCCGCGGTCATAGAGTCTCAAAACTCCAGCCCGTCGTGTTAGCCACTAGACCAGCTAGCCACAATAAGATTCGTCCAACTAGGTATATTTCTACACCATAGGAAGGTTAGCACAGGAACCACTGTGACCACAAATGCAAGTTTTTACAGACGAATCTCCAGCTAGCGTGGCCGTGACGAACTCTAGCTCAAGTCCCTTCACTGCCGTCAACATGACTCACGAAATCGTAATGACACGATTGCAAACAAACCATACCCCGGGGTATGGTTTGTTTGCAATCGTGTCATTACGATTTCGTGAGTCATGGAACAGAATTCTTCCTCCGTAAGCCATGCGTGTTGTAGGAGGCAACTAAAATGCCGGGAGCAAGGGGCTAGTAACCTCTTCTCCTGTATATATTACTAAATGTAAAAGGAGAAACTTTCGTTTTTCCTTTTGGGCCACCCTGCCTCGGTGGGATACGGCCGGTGTGTTGAAAGAAAGAATTTTTGGGTGTCTGGAACGGATTAATTTTATTTCTATTATTTCTTATGGGGAAAATGGTTTCAAGTTTCGTGAATTTCGACTTTTGCCAGGCTCTCTGGAACGGATTAATCACGAAACTTGGGGGTCCACTGTACTTTCATCATTCTACATTTTCACCTCACTCACACAATCACTGTTTTTGCAGAGGTGCCTGGAATAAAACAGTTTAGAAGTATATACGTATAAAAATACACAATATATCCCTCCAAACTGCCAATATCCCAAACCCCTCCTTTAGAGTGCAGGAATTGTACTTCCCATTTCCAGAACTCAAGTCCGGTTATATAAAATAACCGGTTTCCCTAAATCCTTTCACGAAATATTACCCTGCTCACACTCCAACAGCTCATCATGTCCCAAATACCATTCGTCTCCATTCACTCCTATCTAACAAGCTCACGCACATTTGCTGGAAGTCCAAATCTCTCGCCCACAACACCACCTTTACCCCCCCCTCCCTCCAACCTTTTCGAGGACACCCCCTACCCCGCCTTCCTTCCCCTACAGATTTATATGCTCTCCAAACTTATTATTATTTTATATTTTTTGATTAATACATCAGCCTTCTCCCACCAAGGCAGGGTGGCACGAAAAAGAAAAACTTTCATCATTCACTCCATCACTGTCTTGCCAGAGTTGCACTTACACTACAGTTAGTAAGTAAGTAAGTAAGTAAATTTATTCAGGTATACACAATACAGTTACATAGAATTATCATACATAGCAGCATATGTGTAGAGAACCTAGGATAACCCAAAAAAGTCAGACAGAGTTATACCCCTCCTTCAGAGTGCAGATACTGTACTTCCCATCTCCAGGACTCAAGTCTGGCCTGCCAGTTTCCCCTGACTCCAAACCATACCACGGGCGGGGATAGAACCCGCGATCAGAGTCTCAAAACTCCAGACCGTCGAGTTAGCCACTGGGCCAGCTAGCCACAATAAGATTCGTCCAACTAGGTATATTTCTACACCATAGGAAGGTTAGCATAGGCACCACTGTGACCACAAATGCAAGTGGTGCATATGCTAACCTTCCTATGGTGTAGAAATATACATAGTTGGACGAATCTCATTGTGGCTAGCTGGTCCAGTGGCTAACACGACGGTCTTGAGTTTTGAGACTCTCTGATCGCGGGTTCTATTCCCGCCCGTGGTATGGTTTGTTTGCAATTGTGTCATTACGATTTCGTGAGTCATGTTCCCTGACTCCCTTCATAAGTATTACCTTGTTCACACTCTAACAGCACGTCAAGTCCTAAAAACCATTTGTCTCTATTCGCTCCTATCTAACACACTCACACACGCTTGCTGGAAGTCAAAGCCCCTCACATACAAAACCTCCTTTACCTCCTCTCTCCACCCTCTCCTAGGCGAACCCCTACCCCGCCTTCCCTCCAATACAGATTTATACACTCTCGCAGTCATTCTCTTTTGTTCCATCCTCTCTACATGTCCGAACCATCTGAATAACCCCTCCTCAGCCCTCTAGATAATAGTTTTGGTAATCCCGCACCTCTTCCTAATTTCCAAACTACAAATTCTCTGCATTATATTCATACCACACACTGCCCTCAGCCTTCTCCTTGTTGCAACATTCACCACCCATGTTTCACACCCATATAAGAGTGTTGGTATAACTATACTCTCATACATTTCCCTCTTTGCTTCCATGGAGAAAGTTCTTTGTCTCCACAGGCTCCTAAGTGCACCACTCACCTTTTTTCCCTCATCAGTTCTAAGATTCTCCTCATCTTCCACAGACCCATCTGCTGACACATTCACTCCTAAATATCTGAATATATTCACCTGCTCTATACTCTCACCCTCCAATCTGATATCCAATCTTTTGTCACCTAATCTTTTTTGTTATCCTCATCACTTTACTCTTTCCTTTATTCATTTTTAATTTTCTTCTTTTACATACCCTACCAAACTCATCCACCAATCTCTGCAACTTCTCTTCAGAACCTCCCAAAAGCAGTGTCATCAGCAAAGAGCAACTGTGACAACTCCCATTCGTATAGATTCTCTTCTTTTAACCTCAACAGCATTCATTTCTCTTACAACCCCATCTATAAATAGATTGAACAACCATAGTGACATCACACATCCTTGTCTAAGGCCTACTTTTACTAAGAAATATTCTCCCTCTCTTCTACATACTCTAACCTGAGCCTCACTATCTCGTAAAAACTCTTCAGTGCTTTCAGTAATCTACCTCCTATTCCATACATTTGCAACATTGCCCCCTTATCCACCCTGTAATATGACTTTTCCAAATCCATAAATGCCACAAAAACCTCTTTACCCTTATCTAAATACTGTTCACTTACATGTTTCACTGTAAACACCTGGTCCACACACCCCCTACCTTTCCTAAAGCCTCCTTGTTACTCTTAATTCTTTCAATAATAACTCTACAATACACTTTTCCATATATACTCAACAGACTTCTTCCCCTATAATTTTTGTACTCTCTTTTGTCACCTTTGCCTTTATACAAAGGCACTATGCATGCTCTCTGCCAATTCTTAGGTACCTTAACCTCTTCCATACATTTATTAAATAAAAACACCAAGCATTCCAAAACTATATCCCCACCTGCTTTTAACATTTCTATCTTTATCCCATCAATCCCAGCTGCCTTACCCCCTTTCATTCTACCCACTGCCTCACAAACTTCCCCCACACTCACAACTGGCTTTTCTTCTTCCTTGCTCTATACATGAAATCACAGCTTCCCTATCTTCATCAACATTTAACCCTTTTAGGGTCCAGAGGCCAAATTTCAAAGTGTGCACCAGTGTCCAAGAATTTTCAAAAAATAATTTTGTTATTTTTTCTTATGAAATGGTAGAGAATCTTTTTCTGAAAGTAATAAAACAAAAAGTACAAAATTTGATGGAAAATTAACGAAATTATGCTTTCGTGAATTTTGATGTGTCAGCGATATTTATGCATCGGCGATTTTGCCGACTTTTACTCCCATTTTAGGCCAATTACCTTATTCCAGTCGATCAAATTCTTAGGTATTTCACTAGTATCACTTCCATTCTTTCGATTGAGCACAAGAAATCGCCAACTCAGCTGTTTCAACTACAAAATAAATTGACTAGAAATTGGTAATTTGGCCAATTTAGTGCAAAGTTCAAAATAGGGTCCAGAATAAACAATGCAGGCATTCCTGGCACTAAACTAACATTTCCTCTGTTCATTAGTTATGTTTTCAGGCTTTACAAATGAATTCCATTTTAATTTTTAATTCACATAATGAATTTTTATTCAAATAAAAAAATAGAAGATTTACTGTCATGCAATATTGTAATAATTGTATAAATAATATCAGCACATTTGTGAACGTATATTAGACCCACCAGCTGGCGTGTATTAGACGTGTGAGGTCATTTATTTATTTTTGAACATTGGCAAAAATTTAATATTTCCGCTACTTTGAGATCAGTTTCAAGCCATTTTCAACACTAAAAACCAATCAAAATCATCTCTGTTTCTGTAGTATACCTTCCAGTCTATCAAAAGAGACCAAGAAATCGCAAATACGTACAACCATGAAAAAAACATACGAAAAAACACTGCAAAGTTGCTGCTTTAATCGAAAATTATGATCTCAGTTTTTTTTCCTCTCATTATGCACTGTGTGCTGCAGGATTTGTTTTATGTGGTGCACACATACCACATAGATGTATTCTCTCATATCTAGGCCCAAATTTACCGCTCACAGCTTATCATAGTGAGCTGAGCTCATGGCATAGATCTACGGTTTGGATCCTCAACATAAAGCCGTAGATCTACAGCACGGACCCTGAAAGGGTTAGTAATTCCTCAAAATATTCCCTCCATCTTCCCGATACCTCTAACTCTCCATTTTTAATAACTCTAATCTCCTATTTTTAACTATTATTATTATTATTGTTAAAATGCTAATGTCATATGTTCAAATGGCTATAGTCTGATTGTTGTAACCTGGGACCCTATAGTTTACTAAACCTGGACAGCTACTGCACACTAGGCAAGTTTAGATAATATAATAAATTTCTTCTCTAGAAGTATTAAGCTGTACTATTATTTCTACTACTACAAATACTAACAACGAAAATAATAAAAAAAACTCACAGGGTCAAATTCTGTTATCATGATAAAAAGTGACTGGAGAGTAAAATCCAGATCTGGAAACCAGCGGCTAACGCACCGGCTTCTTTCATGTGCTGTGGTCATTCGGTAAATGGTTTCCACAATGGTGGCTTGAGTATCATAGTCACCAATTTCTTGCAGAAGACTTGGCAGATGGACACTACAGTAAATGAAGAGATAAAGAAAAAGTAAACAAAATTAAAATTTATACTGTATTGTCAGAACCCTGAATATGCAATAAGGTAATTCTATACTGTTAGAAAGGTGGAGTTGGCATGTTGATTTATAAAGCATTAGAATGATCTGATTAATCAGCCTCTTAAATAAACAGTTGCTGAAACCATTATCAATTTTATGCTATCTGGCTATAATCCTGACTAATTTACTCTCAATACAAAAATGTAAAGTTAGTTACTTACAAAACACAAACCATATTCAAGCCACTTGTCGTATGTCCTAGCAAATACAGATGAAAAGAATTTTTTTTTTAACACGTCGGCCATTTTCCACCGAGGCAGGGGTGACCCAAAAAGAAAGCAAAACCCAAAAAGAAAAAGCTTTCATCATCATTCAACACTTTCACTATCACTCATACATAATCACTGTCTTTACAGAGGGACTCAGATACAACAGTTTAGATGTCCCTCCAAACTGCCAATATCCCAAACTCCTCCTTTAAAGGCAGGCATTATACTTCTCCTTTCCAGGACTCAAGTCCGGCTAACCAGTTTCTCTGAATCCCTTCACAAAATATTACCCTGCTCACACAACAGCTCATCAGGTCCCAAAAACCATTCGAAAAGAAAACTACCTCCGCCACTTATATCAAAAAAATATGCTGGATCCTTAGTCAGCTAAAGGTTAAGAGATATGAGGAGAGAAATTAAAGGAGCTAAACCTGATGGCACTGGAAGACAGAAAGACCATGTATGACATGAAAATGACATACCAAACAGTGAGAAGAATTTAGAGGGTGGAGAGGAACAGAAGGGCCCTCTACTTCATTTTTTTTTTTTTTTTTTCAACAAGTCGGCCGTCTCCCACCGAGGCAGGGTGACCCAAAAAAGAAAGAAAATCCCCAAAAAGAAAATACTTTCATCATCATTCAACACTTTCACCACACTCGCACATTATCACTGTTTTTGCAGAGGTGCTCAGAATACAACAGTCTAGAAGCATACACATATAAAGATACACAACATATCCCTCCAAACTGCCAATATCCCAAACCCCTCCTTTAAAGTGCAGGCATTGTACTTCCCATTTCCAGGACTTGAGTCCCATTTCCAGGACTTGAGTCCTGGAAATGGGAAGTACAATGCCTGCACTTTAAAGGAGGGGTTTGGGATATTGGCAGTTTGGAGGGATATGTTGTGTATCTTTATATGTGTATGCTTCTAGACTGTTGTATTCTGAGCACCTCTGCAAAAACAGTGATAATGTGCGAGTGTGGTGAAAGTGTTGAATGATGATGAAAGTATTTTCTTTTTGGGGATTTTCTTTCTTTTTTGGGTCACCCTGCCTCGGTGGGAGACGGCCGACTTGTTGAAAAAAAAAAAAAAAAAAAAAAAAAAAAAAAAAAAATGAAGTAGAGGGCCCTTCTGTTCCTCTCCACCCTCTAAATTCTTCTCACTAAATTCTTCTACTTCATGTTCACAAATATTTCCCACCCCATCACCACCTTAAGGTGATCTAGTGAGAGAAGGGGTAGTGTAGTGAAGTAGTAGTAATGAAAATTTTCAGACAGTATGAGATGGAGATGGACAATATTAAAGCTTCCCTGTGTTAAAATAAAAAAAGTAAACCATCCTACTTTGTGGAACTGGGTCACTTTTTATTGGTCTATAGAAAATGCACATAAAGGACCTTAAACATACAGTAGACAGAATTACTTTTTATTAAGAATGACATATTCAAGTATGAATTCTGGCCATAATGTACACTGCTGTGTAAATATGGTCTGAGAACCCTTAATGATAAGGTTAGTATTTGTTTTATAGCAGTATTATTATACAGTACTTAACTCACGAAATCGTAATGACACGATTGCAAACAAACCATACCCCGGCCGGGATTGAACCCGCGGTCAGAGAGTCTCAAAACTCCAGACCGTCGTGTTAGCCACTAGACCAGCTAGCCACAATAAGATTCGTCCAACTAGGTATATTTCTACACCATAGGAAGGTTAGCACAGGCACCACTGTGACCACAAATGCAAGTTTTTACAGACGACGGTCTGGAGTTTTGAGACTCTCTGACCGCGGGTTCAATCCCGGCCGGGGTATGGTTTATACAGTACTTACATTAGACACACACCAAGTAATAAACATACAATCAATTTCTAACCTCAAGAAAAGTAAGTGCTTATAAAACTCACAAAAGATCACTGCAGTTCTTCCTGAAGGTATCACGAGCTTCATTTGGGAACAGCTTCATTAGTTCATTGAGCTCCTTTAGGCATTTACTCCTAAGATTTATTGGCTTAGTTGAATCTAAACTGGGCTTCATTAAACTTCTGCCCATATCACAAAAGTGACTTGAAACAATATCTTGATGATATTCAAGGAGGCTCTGAAAAAATTCAAGTGGATTTATTTACTTTCACAATACATGTTTAAGTTATAAGTACATAAAAATACAAGACATACACTCATACTATTGTGCCTACTACAAATACAGAACATTAAATTCTACTAAAGTTCTCCTTGATAGTTACAACAGAATGTAGTCACAATACAAGGCATAAGGCACTCTTCAACATCCCTCGTGTTAGTCTCACACTATGAAAAAATGCTATGCGCACAAAGTTTCCAAATATCTGGAACTCTCTACAGGAACCAGTAAAGGATCCCCTGACTACTTATGAATTTAGGACTTTGCTAAAAAAAAATCATCCTATCTCTCAATACTAACCAAATCAACCAAAACAACTTCTAATTAGTTATAGTATGTGACCTCTAGGCTATTAAACATCTGCCAATCCATGAAATATTACTGCCTGAACAATTAATTGTAATATTGCTTTTACTGTGTGCAACTACAAGATTATTATTCTTATAAACCTCCACCTTGACTACCTCGCATTAATATTAAGTTTAAATAAGATTGTAATCAAGTTAACCACTAGTATCTTGTCTAGTTTTAAGTAGTTTCTATGTACTATTATCATGTCTAGTTTTAAGTAGTGTCTATGTACTGTTATCTTGTCTAGTTTTAAGTAGTTACCGTGTACTAGGATTAGTCTGCCCAAAATGCCCCGGCATGATAATGGCTTTCTTTGTACTTAGCAAACCAAAATTGTAATTACACATTGTAACCTTTACAAAGAAATCTTTATCTTTACCTTTATATCACTAATTTCAAAAGTTAAGCGATCAGCTGAACTACCGATACATCGTACAAAGAAAGTTGTATACTATGTAACAGAAAAGTAATGAATTTTATATATTTGTTAAAAGTACAATTCCTGCTTTACTCTTCTATCTGCTAAATGGTTCATTTACATCACCCTGAATAACAATTTTCGTCGAGAAATAGTAGAGATTACTGATCATGTCTCTATGCATCTAGATGCTGAGGGGTGTTGGGTAAGACTATGTGTCACCAGGTTTTCTAAGTTTACACAATAATTTTTCTCTCACTTCAGTTTTACAGAAAGCTCAGTAGAGGACTGTTCTGGCACTGGAGTAAGCTCCTCTTATTCATGCTCTTGATGCTAGTTAGAGAAAAGCTATTTGTCTTATATGTGTACCTAGCCTCGCATCCAATCTTGAGCTGTCAGCATCCCATTGCAGAGTTGTATCTTAGATTGCATTTTAGCGGTAAAAAATTTGAAAGCTGTATAAACCCTCTTCATATATGATTTTCTCATTAGGAAATGCACTGGTCTCTTCTCACTGATGTCTGTTGCTAATCCTAAATTATAATACCTTGCTCCCCCAGTGACCTCTCCTATTAAGTAGTGGCCATGATATGAAAGGCTTCAGGTAGGCCTATATAACATAATCTTGAGATACCCTTTTAATATTCCTTTCCATGAAATAGGCTGTTGACCCATAATTACCCTACTGCATATCTCTTACAAACATATCATCAGGAATCCTCTCCAGATGCCTAAACTATGGTTGATTACAGTATAAATCTTGATTTGTTTCACATCAAATCTATTTTTCTCTGCCATCCCATATATTCCACGAAATTCTCTTTTGCTTATTTCTTCCACACCTACATGTACCACATACATTCATTAACTAGTTCATATCAACAGCCTTGGATACTTCCAGCAAGTCTTGAATTTTCTTACACGAGCATTTTACTTTGGATGCAATTTCCAACAAGATTAATTTTCTAGCACATTTGCATAATAACTTTCTTCCTGGATGTGACCCACAAATCAGTTAATATATATATAGTATATGTTAGGAGAGGGGAGAAACAATAAACCCAAATGATTCGCTGAAATACTTATTGCCTTTTTTTCTTATTTAAAGTGATTTCATTTCAGACAACAGTTCTCCTACACCTTAGATTTTAAAAACTTCTCATGGTTACTACACTTACCTTTTCAATCCCAGTGTTGAGATATAAAAATATGCAACAGAGATTTAGTACAAGTCAAATAAACTTTACAAACCATTTTTAGTACTTACAAAAAACAATGCAGCTAGAGCATGCCATAACTGGTGTTGGAAAGACTCATTCTGAGGCTTTTTTGTTGCTGCAAAGTTAATCATCTGAAGATAAACCTCAATGACTGTATCAAAATTAACCTCTTCATTGCTACTGGTAGTTGAATATGAGGTCAATAGCTGCACCAAGTAACATGCTGATGGCACATGTTCCAGATCAGTTACCTATAAGAGTTTTAAATAGAACGTTTGACAATTTTTTTTTATTTTTTTTTAACCTCGCCTCGGTGCCTATCTTTTGCCAACCCAAAGAAAATGCATTAACCTTTCTGGAGGGATGGGGAGGTTACTGTTTGGGGTGTCATTCAAAACGTCTGCACACTTCTGGCAAGACAGCTACTGACACAGTGACTGAATGAATGACAGCAAATGCATATTCTCTCTTTTTGGGGCACCCTACCTTGGTGGGAGACAGTCAGTATGTAAAAAAAATTAATGTTTTGAAGAGAACAATTTTTATAGAATGTTAACTTTTCTTCTTACAAATGCATACCACTGGCTTGAATGTTTTACAATTAGTGCACATCCTATTGTGGGGTTATTTAATACTGATAGAGCAACTCCCAAGTAACAACTAAGACTAATAAATTTCCAAAGTCACTGCTGTCAGCTAGGCCTGTATAAGCTGTATAATGTACTTGCAGAAATAAAGATTGTTTATTATTATTAAATACTTATCTAGCAAATGTGGGATGGGATTGCATATAGCTCTGGGGTATGTTACTGTATGATAATGCAAACAAAATAAGTGTTAATTGTTCAGAAGAACATGTACTGTATATAGCTTGTAAATGCCTTTAATTGTTTAACAAATTTAATTTTAAGTCAAATTAAATTGTAAATTACAGGTCGGCCATCACTAATCCGGCATCATTGGGACCTGTAGTATGCCGGATTAGTGAATTTGCCAGATTACAGAGTGGTTAGGTTAGAATACGCTTAATTAACCTATCAATAGAGACTACTATATCTTCCTCATTTTCATAACTGCTTTCTTCTCCACTGGCTTGCTGCTGTGTATTTACAGCCATCTGCACAATTTCTGAGTCAGTATAATGATGAAATTCGAGTCAATATAATGATTTGAGTCAGCATAATGATGAAATTTGAAATTATGATAGCCAAAATTAGTGCCGGATTACTGATGGAACCGGATAACTGATTGCCGGATTAGTGATGGTCGACCTGTACTTCAATTTTTATAGCCATTATATCTAGTATACCTGGAGGGTATTCCGAGGGTCAATGCCCCCGTGACCTGGTTCACTAGGGCATTGACCCTCATGGTGGGTCAGGGCCCAATCAACCAGACTGTTACTGCTGGCCATATGCAGACAACATACAACCACAGCCCAGCTAATCAGATATAAACACCTAAGGGCTGTGGTTCATATGCTGGTCTGTACGTGGCCAGCAGTAATAGCCTAGGTGACCCTCAGAATACCCTCTAGATATACTCCATGTATACTAGGTTTTCCTCCAAAACATTGTGCAGAATGTTTTGAATATATTTTAGCAAAGCAAATTGCTATGCTAAAATTGCTAGCTCAAGATGCCAACCATGTAATAACTTTATTGCTAAGTTCTCATTAAAGTGTGACTGAAATTATGTGCATAACTAATTTTTGTAACTTTATATTTAAGTTAACCCATTCACTATAGCACCTATAGTATGTATATTTAAAAGAAAACAAAAATTATTTATTTCAATATTTTATATTTAAAAATTAAAAAAAAACTGGCAAAAAAAAAAAAATCAAATTCTTTCATATTATAAGGAGTACAGTCTACTGTATAGACCACTATACTGTACTATGTGTGCTAAGGTAAACAGCTGGCGAACAGTTCAGTTTAATAAAAATCAATATTTATTACAGTTAGCCAGTACCTTTTGTGTCCACAGTAAAACTGCTCTACTTCCATCGGGAAACCAAGAAGGAAGTTTCTTCCCTGATGCTGCTTGGAGCAGAATATTTCTTAATGTACTAAATAATTCATCTGCTGATTCAAGTGAGCTGAGGATGCTCAACAAACTCACTCTCTTTCTGTGGGGATTTTCATCTCGACTATTCATTGTTGATATCACCTAACAAACTGAAACAAGCATTTAAAAACCTCCTTTTTTATGGATTATAGTAATATTTCAGCCATCATGCATTGTGTTGTAAAAGCTTAGCAAATTATACTTCAATACGTCTGAAAAAAAAAACTTTCTTAGAAACCTTGTACAAATACGACATGAGTTTCCCATCCAAAAAGAAAATTAGTACTGTAATCAGAAAATGTATACAGTATTTGGATGTAGAGGAAATAGATCTGTAAATAAAGGACCTATATAATACTAATTTAATATGCAGATGTAATGTTCAAGATAAAGACATTCTGTAAAAGTATTCATAAACAAAAATATGATAAATACAGTGGACCCCCGGTTAACGATTTTAATCCGTGCAAGAGGGGTAATTGTTATGCGAAATAATCATTATGTGAATGAATTTTCCCCATAAGAAATAATGGAAATAAAATTAATCCGTGCAAGACACCCAAAAGTATGAAAAAAAAATTTTTTTACCACGTGAAATATTAATTTTAATACACACAAACTGAAAAAGGCATGCACACTTACATGACACTTACTTTTATTGAAGATCTGGTGATGATTGATGGGATGGGGAGGAGGGGAGAGCATTATCTTCTTACTGTTTAGAAGGGGAATCCCCTTCCATTACGACTTGAGGTAGCAAGTCCTTTTCCGGGGTTACTTCCCTTCTTCTTTTAATGCCACTAGGACCAGCTTGAGAGTCACTGGACCTCTGTCGCACAACAAATCTGTCCATAGAGCTCTGTACCTCCCGTTCCTTTACGATTTGTCTAAAATTGGGCCACAACATTGTCATTGAAATAGTCACCAGCACGGCTTGCAACAGCTGTGTCAGGGTGATTTTCATCCATAAAGGTTTGCAGTTCAACCCACTGTGCACACTATTTCTTAATCTTTGAAGTAGGCACAATGGATTCCACAACTGGCATAGGCTTCTCAGGGTTAGCCCCAAACCCTTCAAAAATCTTCTTAATTTCCATACTAATTCTCACCCTTTTTACCACAGGGTTGGCACTAGAAGCTTTCTTGGGGCCCATGGTCACTTATTTTCCAGAAACAGCACCGAAAACACTGTAATAATACGAAATATTCCGAGTGTATGCTTGGATGTTACCGCGGAGGCTGGCTGGTAAACAATGGGACGGGCGGCACATGTGAGGCTGGCTGAGGGCACATTGGACGCGTCTCGGACGAAAATCGGTGAGCGGGTTTTTAATCGGTATGCGCGGCAAAAATTTTGCGATAAAAGTAAGCGGTATGCGGAAAAATCGCTATGTGATGCCATCGTTATGCGGGGGTCCACTGTACATTATGGACACAAGGATTAGTAGTACATTAGCTGTCTTTATCATAAAGATTGCATAATTACCTAATAAATGTCTGGAATCCAATCTTGAATACCTTCAGAGCTAGAGATGTTACTGTTATGCAAAATATATTTTAGTCTAAAGATATTAATATCTTGTAGCTATGCCTAAAGCAATGTTCTAATGAACTTCAATGTTTATTAGTGTAATGAAGGCATCAATTATGAAGAGCTACACATTGTTAAAAAGAGTGGACAGTTGTATTATGTCTAGTTTCAGTGGCAGAGTCATGGGGGTTATGGGGGAGCTAAGGTGGTTAAAGCTCCCACCAGATGCAAATATTTTTCTATATTTTTTCAGCTGCTGGCTAATTTTCACTGTATTATACTGGCCAATGACCATGAAAGCACAACAGTTAAAGAAATTTTCCATGCATACCAAAAAACATGTTTTTAAAAATTATTTCTTAAGTTTTCAGCATCTTATGATGTTGAAATCCTTGCTGTGCCTCTGAGTACTAGTACAGTATGAGAAGGAATTGGTAAAGCAAAAGTAAAAATGTTCAGTTAAAAAACTAAAAACTCAGCTCAAAACAACGTCATCAATTAGTGCTGTCATGCATTGCATTACTAAACATTTTTTGTCTGACTTCAGGCTTGTATCACTGCTGTTAAGGCAGTAGTGAAAAATTTAGAGGCACATACAGTGCTCATCACTTAAGTACTGCAATGTGCTGAGTAATACCTTAACCTGGAAGGTTTGTCAATGAGATAAGAGATTTCGTTCGGATTTTTAACCCCGGAGGGTTAGCCACCCAGGATAACCCAAGAAAGTCAGTGCGTCATCGAGGACTGTCTAACTTATTTCCATTGGGGTCCTTAATCTTGTCCCCCAGGATGCGACCCACACCAGTCGACTAACACCCAGGTACCTATTTGCTGCTAGGTGAACAGGACAATAGGTGTAAGGAAACGTGTCGGAATTTCCACCCGCCGGGAATCGAACCCGGGCCCTCCGTGTGTGAAGCGGGAGCTTTAGCCACCAGGCCACCGGGCCACCTGATAATGCAATGTGCTGAGTAATACCTTAACCTGGAAGGTTTGTCAATGAGATAATGCAATGTGCTGAGTAATACCTTAACCTGGAAGGTTTGTCAATGAGACAATGTAATTAGAAACAGGAATGTAAGGATTCCTTAAGGCTATTGGGTGCATCTTAAGTGCCCTACAGGCTTGTGTGGTGGATGGTTTGTGTCCATGGGAGCCCTGTACCGAGTGGTCTTGAGAGCCAAGTCTGTTGGACATTTCTGGCTATTGACTAATTAATATGGGCAGGAATAAGGCGCTGATGACAGAAGACAATTGCAAAGATCGAATCCATCAGCATGTGTGTGAGCATCCAGTGAGGATGTGGCTGCATCGGTTCCTTGAGGACAATGTTGACGACATACTCACATCAAAAGCACATCCAGGGAAGCCTTAAAAAAAAGAAAAAAAAATACTAATGTTAACTGTAATAACATACCTAGAATTGCTCTGTTATTATGTCTGAATCTTTCATGCAGAGCAATGAAGGGATTTTATGCAAAACTCTGCTGCTTGCCACACCATGAAATCTGCTGCTTGGTAGCTTCATGTACCAGTACTAGGGGGAGAGAGCACAACTTCGTAGTTACCTGGAGAGGGTTTCCGGGGTCAACGCCCCCATGGCTCGGTTTGAGACTAGGCCTCATGGTAGATCTGGGTCTGATCAACCAGGCTGTTACTGTTGGCCGGAAGCTGACGTACGAACCACAGCCCAGTTGGTCAGGTACTGACTTTAGGTGCCTGTCCAGTACCTTCTTAAAGACAGCCAGGGGTCTATTGGTAATCCCCCTTATGTATGCTGGGAGGTAATTGAACAGTCTTGGGCCCCGGACACTTATTGTGTTGTCTCTCAATGTACTCGTGGCGCCCTTGCTTTTCACTGGGGGAATGTTGCATCTCCTGCCGAGTCTTTTGCTTTCGTAGGGAGTGATTTTCGTGTGCAGGTTTGGTACCAATCCTTCCAGAAGCTTCCAAATGTATATTATCATGTACGTATCTCTCACCTGCTTACCCACAGTCAGTGGCCAGGCTTCAAACACCTTTTATTGTACAGCAATAAAGGAATGGAACAGATTGCCTGCACATGTCAAAGCATAAGCCAGTTCAAGAAGAAAGCCAAAAGGTGCCTGATGAATGTAGTGACAGAAAGAGAGGAGAATGATTTTTTATTTTTTTTAGCTAACACACATGTAAATATAAATAACAAATTTTACCTTATTCCTAATATATCTCCTTTATAGTATAATAATAAGGTATTAAAAGGACCCCAATGGAAATGAGTCACTTTGTCTGACTTTTTTGGATTTTCCTAGGTTCTTTACACTTATGCTATGTATGATAATCTATGTAACTGTGTCTGTGAGGTACCTTTCTTCAATGACTGGCCAGGATATTCCCAAGACTTGAACCCCATTGAGAACCTCTGAGCTGTTACAGAGATATCTAGGGAAAGGATATCAGTTTATCCCAATGGCTTTAGGATGCCATACATGAGTTGTAGAGGAATTTATCCCCCAAAATCTTAAGAATGTGTGATAACTACTTCCTAGACAGATAAAAGATGTCCTAAGGCACTAAGAATGACCTATTTTGTGGTTATGGTTTTAGAGTGGGGGCTGGTGTACTTGAATGATGAGCACTGTAATGGGTCTAGGACCTGAAGCCCAACATTTAAATGGTTAAACAAGTCAACAGTTATGAGTTTTGCACAAGAATTTGTTACATACAGTACTTTAAAAATTAAAATAACCATAAATATGATAAAGTGAGTCATCAAATTTTAAACGTTTACATCATACCTAAGGCAATGACAAATGCACTTTATTATTATAATTATATTCACGGGGATAAACGTTAAATCCATAAGGATCATACAGCACTTGGGAAATAAAAAAGAAAGCTCCAATTCATTAGATCAAAGGCCAAATTTATTTGAAAGCTACTGGAAATACAAAGCATTTCAGGCAGTGTTAAAACTACATTATTATTTTAATTATTGTTGTTGTTATTACATTCATAGGGAAGCACTAAACTTGTTAGGGTCATACCTCCTCTCCTAGTAATGAATTACTGTTATACCCATAGGAGAGCGCTAAATCTGTAAGGGTCACACAGCACCTGGGGTATGAGAGTCAATCAGGTTCTATCCGAGGGAGAGTAGCTCCGATTTCTTGGATCAAGTTCCTTTCACCTTCCAGGCATCCTCGAAGAATTTACTACTATTATTATAATCAAAAGAAAGTGCTACACTTGATTGGTTAATAAGCGTGCAGGATATTATTAGGAAGTGTAAACACTTCAATAGGCCCAGTCCCTGGACCCATTGTGTACCTCTATAATCTGTTAATACCTTTGTAACTTGTCATGATTGTGACTAGACCTACCTGGAGTTCATTACCTTTGTAAAATGTGAATTCATTACCTCTGTAACTTGCTCAGCCATCAAAACTTTGAGGCCAGTCCCTGGACCCATTATGTACCTCTGTAATCTTTTGACTACCGCCCACAGGATGGGTATGGGGTGCATAATAAACATATTAAACTAAAACTAACTAGCACGACCTAACTTTTCAGAACTTGAAACGGGAATCATCTCCCGGCTATAATTTTAAGTGGTGACGTGCAGTCTGAATAGGGATAGCTTATTTAATAGTTGTGGCGTACTCTGGTTCTCGAGCACAATATTCCCACCAACTTTCTAATACATGACACAAGAAACATGGATTGTCAGGAGTAATGGCCAAGGCTCATGGGAGACCTGAATACAACTCTACAAGCTTGAGGGCTGGAATAAAACTCATTACCAAGCACAGAGAGTATAATTACCCTCAGGGAGGTAACATTGACGTCTTGAAGGATTCAAAAAGGTAAAAATGGCAGTGTTGAAGATAAAGAAGAGATACCCGACAGCAACTCTCCCTCCATCACTCAAAACACTGACCCAGCCATTCATCCTTACACTAATTTTTATTATGAAGTCGAAAAAAAAAAGAAAAAAAAATAATAAAAACTCAGTTTAAATATACGTATTTAATTATTAGAAGTATTACCTGCTTCTCTGGGACTACTGAAATGTAACGAGTAATGCCTAAGAAACTCCAATTATTTTTTAGCTCTTCTCCTTTAAAATATTAACGCAACACTTTAACATAAATGTACAGTTTAAAATAAATGTTTTAATTATTATGAATAGTAGAATTGTATTATTAATACTAATATTATTACTAGTTTCATTAAAGTTTTAAGCTTGGCGGGTAAAAGTTTAGTGTTGAGTGATGGCGGTAACCAGAGGGTGTGTTGTGCTTCTCAACATTCATCTTCTCTCCTCTCCTCTTCTACGTTGCTTTCTCATCTCATTTCTTATGGGTTAATGCGCGAGTGATTTTGGAAATTCTGGTTTGTTGTGAAAAGCCCAGCGGTGGACCAGCATGACGAGGCTAGCGAGAAATGTTGCAGAGGTTGCTGCAGCAATGTTGGTTGTGGGATGCTCTTAAAAGTGTGTTGAGCTCCCCTCACAGCGCTGGATGACCCTTGTGGGTTTAGCGATTGGTATTAATTTTAATACACAGCTCTCAAGGGATGGTCCTAGATGCCGGTGAGGGGCTCTTGATCCAAGGAATAGGAGTTTTGTTCCCCCTCCCCATGGATCGAACTGAATTAGTATTTTATAACATGTAAACCACACAATATCCAAATCCTGTAAACCCCACGTTGTAACCCTTATAGAGAATAAACTTGATTTGATTTGATTTGATTCTACCAGGGGTTGTTTTAAATGTCCTGGTGTTCATGTGAAGCTGAGGGGCTCTAAATCCAAGGACCCCTCAAGGGAAGTTCCTTGACGCTGGTGAGGGGCTCTTGATCTAGGGAATTGGATCTGTTTACCTGGAGAGAGTTCCGGGGGTCAACGCTCCCGCGGCCCGGTCTGTGACCAGGCCTTCTGGTGGATCAGAGCCTGATCAACCAGGCTGTTGCTGCTGGCTGCACGCAAACCAACGTACGAGCCACAGCCCGGCTGGTCAGGAACCGACTTTAGGTGCTTGTCCAGTGCCAGCTTGAAGACTGCCAGGTATTCGGTATCCAGACCAGAGCTTTGGTGAGATGGGTAAGGAAGAAGGATGGGTAAGGATAGAAATTTTGGAAAAGGGTGGGAGGGGGGAGAGAGGTAGGATATAAAAGGTAAGTGGCCCAACCACTTTGGTGTAATTTAAAAAGTGTATGTGAAATGATAAGATATTCTTTAAGAGGTATAAGACTAACCCATCAGTCACATAGATATAACAGAATATAAGCACATGACTCTGAATTGGTAGTAATTATACAAGTTGCAATTGCTTTTTTTTTTTTTTTTTTTTTTTTTTTTTTTTTTTTTTTTTTTTTCGCGATTGCACAACGGATATTTATGCGACAGTGAAGGCAATAATTTTCTGGCCAGTTTATAAAATTCAGTGACAATGGCTTCTTACAGGTGGTGTCCAGCCATAGTAAATAGCATAATTTTTTCATTAAGTTGTTATATAAGATGTCTCCCTAATTGGGGGCGATGATGTACTCAGTATACATAGAAGGGTTCTGGTGTTACCCAATCTTCTTCATCAGGGAGGTTGCTCAATATTATGGGTCGAGGGTAATCATCTTTATGTATAAAACGACAAACCCTCTGTGGGAGAGTCATTTTTTGAGTCCTGTGAGGAGGAGTATTGATGCTATAATCCGTGGTATTTACCACTTGTATAGGATGTTCTCTATCTGGCATGTATAGTTCTTGCATTGTATAGAGTTGTTTCTTTTTTAGGGTGTCAAGGCGTACATTTATGGCTGTAATATCTTGTATGTGTAAATCCGCCATTTTTACTCTGTCTCTCCTCCTGGTATCGGTAATGAAGCGAAGAGCTCTATTCTGGACCCTTTGTAACCGTAGCATATTTGTCTTAGTTGTTAATGACATTGGGACACAAGGGTATTCAAGTATAGGTCTTATTAACATTTTATACAGATGTTTTTTGACATGTTGAGGGGCTTGATTGAATCGAAAGAGACTGCTAAGACCGGCTTTGGCTATGTTGATCTTTTTAGTTACATGAGATGTTGAGTGGAGCAGCCTGTCTATTTCGTATCCCAAAATCGTGTTAGGGTTTCTAATGGCTACAGGTGTACCTCTGATGGAGATACCTCCTTTATCGTCAATTGTTGATGCAAAACATCCTATCGTGCTAACAAGGACCTTGTCAGGATTAGTCGTAATTCTCCACTTCTTTTCCCAATTAGATGTTCGACGAAGTTCAATATTCATTTTTTCTGACTCTCTCATACTTGTATTTTCCTGTTACCGGAGTTGATGAAACGACATGAATAACATCATCTGCAAACTGTGTCACAATCGTATCACTAAACTCTGGTTGAGGAAGGTCATTCACATAAATGTTGAACAGAAGTGGACTGAGGCAAGAACCTTGTGGGACACCAGCCGTCGGTATAAAAGGCTCAGTCGACCTGCCATGAAAGGTGGGAATGATTTTTCTTTGAGTTAAGAAATTATATATTACTCTGAGGAAAGTCCAATTATGGTCTGGTAGGTCAGTGAGTTTGTATATAAGGCCATCATGCCATAAGCTATCAAAAGCTTTATGAACATCTCTGGTGGCAATTAAGGCAAGATTGCCCTGATGTTTTAGACTTGCTACAGTATCGAAAATAACATTTATTGCATGATTGGTGCCTCTATGTGTTCTAAAGCCAAATTGCTTTTCAGTAAAAAAGTGATTAAACTCCATATAGTAGTTCAATCTGTTGGAAATGACCTTCTCAAGAACTTTTCCAGTGACTTCAAGTAAAGATATAGGTCTATAGTTCCCAGGTTGGTGAATGTCTTTATTGGGCTTACCTAGAAAGATCATCCTAGCAGTCTTAAAAACCACTGGAAAATGTCCTGAGGCCAAGATGGCATTAAAGATATTTACCAAAGACTGTTTACAATTTCTGGGAAGGAACTTTATTTGTTTCATTGTTATTCCAGAGAGGCCAGGGGCTCTATTACGCATTCTTCCAATAACCTGGCTCATCTCTAGTAATGTAATAGGTCTAGTAAACGGGTGGGTATCTTCAAGAGTTGAAGTATCGATGGAAGGTAGTGGTTGTAGATCATCCAAGTTCTCATCTCTCCATTCATTTACCAACTGATAATGATTATTGTTAAACTGACGACTGTGATTGTGGGAGAGAATTTTCTCCCACACGTCACCCATCAAATTAGCCTGGTCCTGTGGATCGTCAAGTTTAATTTCAACTTCTTCATCATCCTCATCAGTGAAGGTATGAACTAGGTAGTTAGGAGCCTTGTGCTTTGCCCCTAAAAGTTGTCGGATCTTACTCCAAAAGTTTGCTGGTTCACGTTTATCCTGATTAGCTTGAAAAACTAGCAATTTCCATAAGTCCCGTTTATGATGACTAATCAAGTTAATTAATTCTTGCCTTAATCGGTGCAGTGTAGCTACTGGTGGTTGTCGCGTTTGAAGATGCCTTCGACATTCTGCTTGACAATTTCTTGACTGCCAGGGGTCTGTTGGTAATCCCCCTTATGTATGCTGGGAGGCAGTTGAACAGTCTCGGGTCCCTGAATTGAGCCTGAATACCTTCCTCCCCCCTTACGGGCGCTGTATAATCCTACGGGTTTAGCGCTTCCCATTATTATAATAATCTAAATCCAAGGAAGACGATCTGACCTTGGATTGAACCAGACAGCCTAACATTCCCCCGGACTGTATGGTTCCTTAACTTTGTTCATTTTTTTCCTATATTAACTTTCACGGCGCGCATAACGGAGATAAAACACCTCAATTACTGGGAGCGCTTGAGGTTTCTAAACCTGTATTCCCTGGAACGCAGGAGGGAGAGATACATGATTATATACACCTGGAAAATCCTAGAGGGACTAGTACCGAACTTGCACACGAAAATCACTCACTACGAAAGCAAAAGACTTGGCAGACGATGCACCATCCCCCCAATGAAAAGCAGGGGTGTCACTAGCACGTTAAGAGACCATACAATAAGTGTCAGGGGCCCGAGACTGTTCAACTGCCTCCCAGCACACATAAGGGGGATTACCAACAGACCCCTGGCAGTCTTCAAGCTGGCACTGGACAAGCACCTAAAGTCAGTTCCTGATCAGCCGGGCTGTGGCTCGTACGTTGGTTTGCGTGCAGCCAGCAGCAACAGCCTGGTTGATCAGGCGCTGATCCACCAGGAGGCCTGGTCACAGACCGGGCCGCGGGGGCGTTGACCCCGAAACTCTTCCAGGTAAACTCCAGGTATTCTATATTTACCTGGAGAGAGTTTCGGGGGTCAACGCCCCCGCGGCCCGGTCTGTGACCAGGCCTCCTGGTGGATCAGCCCCTGATCAACCAGGCTGTTGCTGCTGGCTGCACGCAAACCAACGTACGAGCCACAGCCCGGCTGATCAGGAACTAACTTTAGGTGCTTCTCCAGTGCCAGCTTGAAGACTGCCAGGGGTCTGTTGGTAATCCCCCTTATGTGTGCTGGGAGGCAGTTGAACAGTCTCGGGCCCCTGACACTTATTGTATGGTCTCTTAACGTGCTAGTGACACCCCTGCTTTTCATTGGGGGGATGGTGCATCGTCTGCCAAGTCTTTTGCTTTCGTAGTGAGTGATTTTCGTGTGCAAGTTCGGTACTAGTCCCTCTAGGATTTTCCAGGTGTATATAATCATGTATCTCTCCCTCCTGCGTTCCAGGGAATACAGGTTTAGAAACCTCAAGCGCTCCCAGTAATTGAGGTGTTTTATCTCCGTTATGCACGCCGTGAAAGTTCTCTGTACATTTTCTAGGTCGGCAATTTCACCTGCCTTGAAAGGTGCTGTTAGAGTGCAGCAATATTCCAGCCTAGATAGAACAAGTGACCTGAAGAGTGTCATCATGGGCTTGGCCTCCCTAGTTTTGAAGGTTCTCATTATCCATCCTGTCATTTTTCTAGCAGATGCGATTGATACAATGTTATGGTCCTTGAAGGTGAGATCCTCCGACATAATCACTCCCAGGTCTTTGACGTTGGTGTTTCGCTCTATTTTGTGGCCAGAATTTGTTTTGTACTCTGATGAAGATTTAATTTCCTCATGTTTACCATATCTGAGTAATTGAAATTTCTCATCGTTGAACTTCATATTGTTTTCCGCAGCCCACTGAAAGATTTGGTTGATGTCCGCCTGGAGCCTTGCAGTGTCTGCAATGGAAGACACTGTCATGCAGATTCGGGTGTCATCTGCAAAGGAAGACACGGTGCTGTGGCTGACATCCTTGTCTATGTCGGATATGAGGATGAGGAACAAGATGGGAGCTAGTACTGTGCCTTGTGGAACAGAGCTTTTCACCGTAGCTGCCTCGGACTTTACTCTGTTGACGACTACTCTCTGTGTTCTGTTAGTGAGGAAATTATAGATCATCGACCGACTTTTCCTGTTATTCCTTTAGCAGCATTTTGTGCGCTATTACGCCATGGTCACACTTGTCGAAGGCTTTTGCAAAGTCTGTATATATTACATCTGCATTCTTTTTGTCTTCTAGTGCATTTAGGACCTTGTCGTAGTGATCCAATAGTTGAGACAGACAGGAGCGACCTGTTCTAAACCCATGTTGCCCTGGGTTGTGTAACTGATAGGTTTCTAGATGGGTGGTGATCTTGCTTCTTAGGACCCTTTCAAAGATTTTTATGATATGGGATGTTAGTGCTATTGGTCTGTAGTTCTTTGCTGTTGCTTTACTGCCCCCTTTGTGGAGTGGGGCTATGTCTGTTCTTTTTAGCGCTTCTTTTTTTATTATAATAATATTCTTATTCTATCTCCTTTTTCTTTAATTGAGGTTCCTTGACGCTGGTGAGGGGTTCTTGATCTAGGTAATTGGATCTTGTGTTCTGGTTCCCTGATGTGAGCCTGAATACCTTCCATCCCCACCCCCACATGCGCTGTATAATCCTACGGGTTTAGCGCTCCCCATGCTTGTAATAATTTTCTTTAATTGATTTCACACAGTTGATTTACTTAGCTGTTTTAATTTTTAAGGTCATGATCATAACTACGCTACGCTGTATGAACCTTGTAGGTTTAGCGCTTCTTTTTTATTATAATAATCATAACTGATTTCTAATGTAAGTTGCAGCTAGGCATTAAGTAAGATATTACAAGGACCCAAGTGGAAATAAGTTACTTTTTTGGGTTATCCTAGGTAATTTACAGGTTACTATGCATGATAATTGTACATATGTGTACCTGTACTTAAATAAACTTACTTAGTTTATCACACCTTTATAAATGTAATAAAGGTGAAGGGCTTTTGGTCCGTGGAGTTAGATCTACCCTCTCTTGCCCTGAATCAAATCTGCCTCCGATTCCTCAGGCAGTATATGACCCCTGCAAGTTTAGCGCTTCCAGTATTTCTCGGTTTTGACTAGATAAATTGAGGTTTCTAGCCTAATATGAACCTTCATTTTTCATATTTGCTCTTCATCCTGTTAGAATATGATAGGTTTTTACTAGAAGTTGTTTGTCTTTATTCTATGTAGTGTACAATGTTTCACAGTACTCGTTGCTTGAATTTATAATTTGGTTCTTCGAAATGCCCTATTTTGTACAGTACTGGAGTACTTTAATATGCTTGTTCCACACTCAAGACCGGATGTTAGTACCTTCCAGGATGATTGCTATCATTCACCCCACAACTTTCTTTAATTTTGATTCATTAAATATAGGTTATTTTGTTGGCTCTGCTCTTGGTGTATATTACTGTACAACTGCTTGTAATGTGTCAACGTATTTACAGGAACTGGCAGACTCCTCTTGAAGTGGCGCAACCACCCGATGATGATTTGTCACAGCTGCCTTCCCAGCTGCCTCATCAGGTTTGTGCTGCCCTGCCTGGTCAATCTTTATCGTTCTCAGAAGCCATAAGGTCAGTGTGTTTGTAGGGGTGATGTTATCAGTGGTGAGAGCACTGGACTTTCATTCGCAAGGTCTCGGTTAGCTTGGTGGCTGATCCAGCCCACCTAACAGAAAAAAATTACCCGTCTGTATGAATAAGACATGCACAATCAAAACATTATTGAAAAACACCCTTAAGGAGGTGCAAAGAATTTGACTTGATTTCCCCTTCCCCCATTAATAAAACGATATTTAAGGAGACGTCTCATCACTGAGCGCCTTTTCAATCTTACTGCGTGCAGCAAACAAGAAATGTCTCCGTCCACAAATGTCTTGATTGCGCATGTGTCTATTTCCAGTCTATCGGTCGGCATCCCTCAGGGAAGGTTCCTTAATGTTGGTGAGGGGCTCTTGATTTAGGGAATTGGATCTGTGCTCCAGTTCCCCGAATTACGCCTGAATGCCTTCCATATCCCCCCCCCCCAGGCGCTGTATAATCCTACGGGTTTAGCGCTTCCCCTTGATTATAATAATAATAATATCGGTCGGCATTAATATACCTGTACTTGTACTACTTGGGTGTAGTTTGCCAGTTGTGGGTCTCATCGAGGGATACAAATTTTAAAGTGTTGGGAAAAAGGTACACGCTCATCGCGGTTTGCCTAATGATGTCAATAAAAAAACGGAATGGGATTGGTTACGAGTGATCCGCTGGAGTCATTGTTTGAACACCTTTTGTTCACAATCTACGTAAAGGACATTGATGAGGGAATAAAAAGCAACATAAATAAGTTTGCGATGACACTAAAATAAGGCGTCAAATAATTTATGATGCGGACAAAAAGGCTACAGCGTGACCTGGGATAGGTTGATGTGGTCGAAGTAGCAGATGAAATTCAATGCAGACAACTGTAAGGTTTTAATCTTAGGAAAACAAAATAACTAAGGCACTAATAAGCTAAGTATTGTAGATTCTAGTCAGAGTGAATGCGAAAAAGATCTAGGGGTTCTAGTTAGCAGAAATTTAAACCAAGACAACAGTGCATAAGTATTCGCAATAAAGCTCGCCCGATTACCATATGGAGAAAACATCTGCAATAAATCTAATAGAATTCTTGGCTTCATATCAGAATTAAATATGAGTCCTAGGTTTTCAACTTTATATATCTTTGGTTAGTTCTCATTTTGATTATGCTGCTCAGTTCCATTCTCCATAATACAGAATGGACATAAAACGCTCGAAAATTTTCAGAGAAGGATAACGAAGTTATAGATAGATACGTAGTTTATTAAGACATGATACATAGTTGTACAAGGAATTATAGTCGTTGGTGTACATGCCAAAAGCCCCTTGATTCCATGTATCAAATTTTTCCTACGAAAATAGACTGAAGGTACTGAACTTGCATTCTCTGGAAAAGCGTAGAATTAGGGAAGATGGGATTGAAATATACAAATGGAAAACAGGAATAAAAAAATGAGATATAAATAGCATTTGAAAATTTCTTAACCATGCCGGGACTCGCAGCAATGGATTCAAGTTTGAGAAATTTGGATTTAGAAGGAATAATAGGAAGTACTGGTTGGGCAACAGAGCTGTAGATGAGCAGAACAAGCTCCCAGGTAGTGTCATTGAGGGAAGAACAATGTTATGCCAAATATCAGGAATCATCCGGCGAGAATGACATTGTCTACATTTTTTTTAAAGATTTAGAATGGAAGGGAAGAAAAGGGTTATGATTAAAGCTTGCAAACAGATAAAATGAATATATGAATGGGAAATAAATAAATGCTGAAAATATATAATCAGGGTAAAATTCACTAATGAACTGAAATTGGGTAAATTTAGATTTATGAAGGATATGGGAGAGTATTGGATTGTCAGTAGAGTTGTAGATGAGAAATAAATTTCCATGTAACATTGAAGTAAATATTCTTGAAAGATTTAAAAATAGTGAAGAGTAAGCCAAATGCTATGAGTATAATAATAATAAATAATAATACTGTTTGGTGCAGGTATGGGAAGATGTGTCGTCGGGCTGGCGGCCAGGGAGCCTCCAGCGGGAAGACCCACAGTTAAATTTTGTCAGCGACGGCGGTGATCATGTTCACCAGGTCTCGTGGCAACAAAGTCACCACCACTCGCATCATAGGCAGAATTCAGTCAGGTAATATTCAGTTTTTCTAAAGTTAAACCTCACCACTAGCCTATATAACTCCATGTAGGTGCTGTAAGATTTTGCCTTTAAAATTAGTAAAATATCGTTACACACACACACAATGGGCAAATAAAGTCTTTCCTTGGTTGTCAAGGCACTTTTTAGGCCTTGTAGCAATAAGCAAATATTGTACTACTATGTATCTCATGATGGATTTCGCGTATTGTTCAATATTTTAATTTCAGCAGATTTACAGAATAATCAGTACGTGATTGTAACGGTTTGATTTTACCTTTACACACAAATTTGTAGCATATTGAGTAATGCGACTGTAACAGTTTTAATTTAATACATACCTTCTGATAGGGTCAACTGAACATTATCTTCTTATTGCAGTGAGAGTCGACGTACAGCATTAGAGGATAACAGGACCACAGCCGGCATGCTAAGACCTGTGTCCGAAATACGTATCCTTTTTTTTTTTTTTTTTTTTTTTTTTTTTTTTTTTTTTTTTTTGCAGAAATAGTGAGAAGTGGAGATGAGAGAGAAATTTCCTGTACCTACGGCAAAGGAAGATAGCGAAAATTACAAGAGAGGAATGGAATAAGACCGAATGACTAGTGAAGTCTGACGGTGTTGATAAAACAGATGAAAATAAAGTATTGAACGTGAGCAAAGACAGTATCTGAAAAAAGTCAATTGATTGTAGTGTAGGAATGAAATAATGTATAAAAGGAGAGAAAGAAAATATGGACTAAAATATGACTGTATAAAATTAGGATATTCGAGCGTAAATAATCTATGCTCAGCAGATATTACATTAGTAATGCTGCGAATGATTTTTTTATGCCAAAAGAAAAAGTGAAAGACTGAAAGTAAGTTAGCAACGAAGCTATTTTACTCATCCTTTATCATCTTATATCTTTGGCGGAGGGAGGGAGAGTTGCCTTGGTGGTGGTGAAGGGCTCTTGATCTAAAAAATGGGAACTACCCTTCCGTTCGATCAAACTTGATTACATCAGTCCCCTGGCTCTGTATGACCCTTACTGGTTTAACATTTTCCATGATTATGATAAAGCAAATTTGACCTTGACTGATGACAGCGGAGCGGTACCGTTCACTCTTCTCCCAGTTCCCGTACTTCAACATCGTCCAGTCAACAGTGTTCCAGGATGTATTTCACTCAGGTGAGAAATTAGTCCTCTATCTCACACCCGTCAGTATGTATTCAGTGCCTAATTAAGAATTTACATGGTTATCAGCCATAACATTTGTAAATCCCCTTCAAGGTAGGATCTCAGACGCCCGCAAGGAGCTCTTGAGCTAAGGAATTAAACCTTCCTTCATGCGCTATATGCCTCCAAGGGTTTAGTGCCCACATGAATGTAATAGTAATAACATTAGTAAATGTGTAAAAAGTTCATTTACATTATTTTAATATTTGCTTACTAACAGCAACCGTCCAGCAGTAAGACTGAATTTAAGTGAGTTGCACTAGTTATACCATCTTTGTCAGTGAGCAGTAGTAACGCATAGTGAATATTAAAAAGTGGTGAATATTGTCAGGCACTGGTTTGGCTCGTCCAGCGATAACTAATGAAACCAAAAGGTATTGGCGACAATTATCTATGAGACGAGAGAAACATTTGGGACCATATTTAATGGTGTGGTGGGTCTCCTTACCTCTGGAGTGAGAGCTGAAAATCTGTGGTGTGTTGGCGGACTTCTTAGCAATCGCCACTATCTTGGCGCAACATATCAAGGAAGTTCTGCAAGTCAGGTCGTAACAACCTTCGCCACATGTCGTCGTTTATCTAAAGCTGGATCTAAGCCTCCCAGTAAGGCTATCTCTAGATTTTTGTTGGGGGATTGTTCCAGTGGCTACGCCTCCTTGGTCAGTTTAATCAGTTCGGTTGCTCATGTTGACTACATTCTCATATAGACACCACAGCTTTGCTGATAACGATATATATATATATATATATATATATATATATATATATATATATATATATATATATATATATATATATAATATATATATATATATAAAATATATATATATATATATATATATATATTATTTTTTTTTTTTTTTTCAACAAGTCGGTCGTCTCCCACCGAGGCAGGGTGACCCAAAAAAAAGAAAGAAAATCCCCAAAAAGAAAATACTTTCATCATCATTCAACACTTTCACCACACTCACACATTATCACTGCTTTTTGCAGAGGTGCTCAGAATACAACAGTTTAGAAGCATCACACGATAAAGATACACAACATATCCCTCCAAACTGCCAATATCCCAAACCACCCCCTTTAAAGTGCAGGCATTGTACTTCCCATTTCCAGGACTCAAGTCCGACTATTGAAAATAACCGGTTTCCCTGAATCCCCTTTACTAAATATTACCCTGCTCACACTCCAACAGTCGTCAGGTCCCAAGTATCATTCGTCTCCACTCACTCCTATCTAACACGCTCACGCACGCTTGCTGGAAGTCCAAGCCCCTTTCCCACAAAACCTCCTTTACCCCCTCTTCCAACCCTTTCGAGGACGACCCCTACCCCTCTTTCCTTCCCTATAGATTTATATGCTTTCCATGTCATTCTACTTGATCCATTCTCTCTAAATGACCAAACCACCACAACAACCCTCTTCTGCCCTCTGACTAATACTTTTATTAACTCCACACCTTCTCCTAATTTCCACACTCCGAATTTTCTGCATAATATTTACACCACACATTGCCCTTAGAACAGGACATCTCCACTGCCTCCAACCGTCTCCTCGCTGCTGCATTTACCACCAAGCTTCACACCCATATAAGAGTGTTGGTACTACTATACTTTCATACATTCCCTTCTTTGCCTCCATAGATAACGTTTTTTGACTCCACATATACTCAACGCACCACTCACCTTTTTTCCCTCATCAATTCTATGATTAACCTCATCCTTCATAAATCCATCCGCCGACACGTCAACTCCCAAGTATCTGAAAACATTCACTCTTCCATACTCCTCCTCCCCAATTTGATACCCAATTTTTCTTTATCTAAATCATTTGATACCCTCATCACCTTACTCTTTTCTATGTTCACTTTCAACTTTCTACCTTTACACACATTCTAAACTCATCCACTAACCTTTGCAATTTTCTTTAGAATCTCCCATAAGCACAGTATCATCAGCAAAAAGTAACTGTGTCCAATTCCCATTTTGAATTTAATTCCCCATAATTTAATCCTACCCCTCTCCCGAACACCCTAGCATTTACTTCTTTTACAACCCCCATCTATAAATATATTAAACAACCATGTGACATTACACATCCCTGTCTAAGACCTACTTTTACCGGGAAGTATTCTCCCTCTCTTCTACACACCTAACCTGAGCCTCACTATCCTCATAAAAGCTCTTTACAGCATTTAGTAACTTACCACCTATTCCATAAACTTGCAACATCTGCCACATTGCTCCTCTATCCACTCTATCATATGCCTTTTCTAAATCCATAAATGCAATAAAAACTTCCCTACCTTTATCTAAATACTGTTCACATATATGCTTCAATGTAAACACTTGATCTACACATCTCCTACCCACTCTGAAGCCTCCTTGCTCATCCGCAATTCTACATTCTGTCTTACCTCTAATTCTTTCAATTATAACCCTACCGTATACTTTTCCTGGTATACTCAGTAAACTTATTCCTCTATAATTTTTACAATCTCTTTTGTCCCCTTTCCCTTTATATAAAGGGACTATACATGCTCTCCGCCAATCCCTAGGTACCTTCCCCTCTTTCATACATTTATTAAACAAAAGTATCAACCACTCCAACACTATATCCCCCCCTGCTTTTAACATTTCTGTCATGATCCCATCAGTTCCAGCTGCTTTACCCCCTTTCATTCTACGTAATGCCTCACGTACCTCACCACACTTACATTCTGCTCTTCTTCACTCCAAAAAGATGGTATACCTCCTGGCCAGTGCATGAAATTACCACCTCCCTTTCTTCCTCAACATTTAAAAGTTCCTCAAAATATTCTCGCCATCTACCTAATACCTCCCTCTCCCCATCTACTAACTCCCCTACTCTGTTTTTAACAGACAAATCCATACTTTCCCTAAGCTTTCTTAACTTGTTTAACTCACTCCAAAATTTTTTTTATTTTCATTAAAATTTCTTGACAGTGCCTCTCCCACTCTTTCATCTGCTCTCCTTTTGCACTCTCTCACCACTCTCTTCACCTCTCTTTTACTCTCCATATACTCTGCTCTTCTTATAACACTTCTGCTTTGTAAAAACCTCTCGTAAGCTACCTTTTTCTCTTTTATCACACCCTTTACTTCATCATTCCACCAATCACTCTTTCCTCCTGCCCCCACCCTCCCATAACCACAAACTTCTGCCCCACATTTAATACTGCATTTTTAAAACTATTCCAACCCTCTTCAACCCCCCCCACTACTCATCTTTGCACTAGCCCACCTTTCTGCCAATAGTCGCTTATATCTCGCCCGAACTTCCTCCTCCCTTAGTTTATACACTTTCACCTCCCTCTTACTTGTTGTTGCCACCTTCCTCTTTTCCCATCTACCTCTTACTCTAACTGTAGCTACAACTAAATAATGATCTGATATATCAGTTGCCCCTCTATAAACATGTACATCCTGGAGCCTACCCATCAACCTTTTATCCACCAATACATAATCTAACAAACTACTTTCATTACGTGCTACATCATACCTTGTATATTTATTTATCCTCTTTTCATAAAATATGTATTACTTATTACCAAATTTCTTTCTACACATAGCTCAATTAAAGGCTCCCCATTTACATTTACCCCTGGCACCCCAAATTTACCTACTACTCCCTCCATAACATTTTTACCCACTTTAGCATTGAATCCCCAACCACCATTACTCTCACACTTGATTAAAAACTCCCCACGCATTCACTCAACATTTCCCAGAATCTCTCTCTCTCCTCTACACTTCTCTCTTCTCCAGGTGCATACACGCTTACTATAACCCACTTTTCACATCCAATCTTTATTTTACTCCACATAATCCTTGAATTTATGCATTTGTAGTCCCTCTTTTCCTGCCATAGCTTATCCTTCAACATTATTGCTACTCCTTCTTTAGCTCTAACTCTTTTGAAACCCCTGACCTAATCCATTTTTTCCTCTCCAATTGAAACTCTCCCACCCCCTTCAGCTTTGTTTCACTTAAAGCCAGGACATCCAGTTTCTTCTCATTCATAACATCCACAATCATCTCTTTCTTATCATTTGCACAACATCCACGCACATTCAAACTTCCCACTTGACAATTTTCTTCTTATTCTTTTTAGTAATCTTTACAGGAAAAGGGGTTACTAGCCCATTGTTCCCGGCATTTTAGTTGACTTTTTACAACACGCATGGCTTACGGAGGAAAGATTCTTATTCCACTTCCCCATGGATATAAAAGGAAAAGTAATAAGACCAAAACTATTAAGATAAAATCAAAGAAAACTCAGATGATGTGTATAAATAAACGTGTACATGTATGTGTAGTGTGACCTAAGTGTAAGTAGAAGTAGCAAGACGTACCTGTAATCTTGCATATTTATGAGACAGACAAAAGACACCAGCAATCCTACCATCATGTAAAACAATTACAGGATTTCATTTTACACTCGGCAGGACGGTAGTACCTCCCTGGGTGGTTGCTGTCTACCAACCTACTACCTACATATATATATATATATATATATATATATATATATATATATATATATATATATATATATATATATATATATATATATATATATATATATATATATATATATATATATATATAATATAATGAAGGGTGTTGAGGAGAATCGGACCCTTTGCGCTTAGTGAGTTTTCCCAAAGTATTACATCCCTGCTTTTTTGATGGGGATATTTTGCACCTTCTACTGTGTTTCTCGTTTTTACCTGGAGACCTGGAGTTTACCTGGAGAGAATTCCGGAGGTCAACGCCCCCGCGGCTCGGTCTGTGGCCAGGCCTCATGGTGGATCAGCACCTGATCAACCAGGCTGTTACTGCTGGCTGCACGCAATCCAACGTACGAACCACAGCCCGGCTGGTCAGGGATAAGTTCACTCTAGGTTTAGAATTAATTCCACCCATATTTTCCAGTGCAAATTATGAAGTGCCTTTATCGTTTGTGTGCTATATTCCTTTTTCGCTTTGTTGAGTGGTTTGAACTTTGTCACTATTTTTTTCCTTCATTTGTGCCACAGCAAGTTGATATTTGTCTTCGTTAAACATTTTTTTATGGATCACTGGAAGACCTAGTTCACAAGACTTGAAGGTTTGCGGTGCCACTCATACAAATCTTAGTATCGTCGCTATGATTGGTATTTATCCGTGATCAGTATGAGGAAAAGGACTGGGCGGCCTGTTCCGTGGGGTTCCATACAATCAAGCATTAGGGACGGGAGCCTTCTCATAGCATCCTTCCAAACTCAGAATATTGTCACTATCTAGTCATTAAAGCATAACATCCTAGGGTCATTTAGGAGACTATTACTATCTAATTGATTTTTGTAGGTTGGCTGTTTTAAAGTTTTTATTGCGTTTGCCTTACGTATACATATTAACCGAGTTGTGTATTGTACACAACAGACCGGTCGGTGGTGGTGTCAGCACCAACGGGGTCGGGTAAGACGGTGGTGATGGAGCTGGCTCTGGTGAGGCTTCTGCACACGCTGGAGCATCAGCTGCAGCAACAACCTTCTGGATACATCCAGCCACGCTCCAGAGTAGTCTACTGTGAGTATCACATAAACATACACACCGACGAGTACACACATTAAAGTTAAAGGCTCTTGATTCAAGGAACTGGATCTATCTTGCCCAACTTCGGATTGAACCTGATTACTTCCTATTCTCAGGTGCCGCATGACTTACGGGTTTAGCCATTCCCTGTGGTTATAATAATAATAATAGCTAAAGAACAAAAAGGCACAGTGGAACAATACACAAATAACCCGGCGTTTCTGTCCAAGTGGGACCGAAACGTTGTCGTAAGCTTTCCTCTGCGGCTTGTGTAATATAATCATGGGGAGCGCTAAACCCGTAGGATTATACAGCGCGCGTGGGGGGGATGGAAGGTATTCAAGCTCAATTCAGGGAACCGGAGCACAGATCCAATTCCCTAGATCAAGAGCTCCCCCACAAGCGTCAAGGAACCTCCCTTGAGGGGATTATTTGTGTAATAATAGCTACTCTATACTTTTGAGCTACACTTTTCATCGTTCGCTCTCCATACTCTTCTCAGCATTTCTTGAAATATTCTTTAATACCATGGATAATACTTGAATTTTCTTTATAGCTCAACTTGTAACTTAATTTTTAAGTCGTATCAGTTTTACGTGGGCTTGTTTCAAGAGTTCTTGCTAAATTACCCCTCAAGGAAGGTTCCTTGATGTTGGTGAGGGGCTCTTGATTTAGGGAATTGGATCTGTGCTCCAGTTCCCCGAATTAAGCCTGAATGCCTTCCACATCCCCCCCCCCAGGCGCTGTATAATCCTCCGGGTTTAGCGCTTCCCCCTTGATTATAATAATAATCTTGCTAAATTAATGTGTTTTATTTTACTTGTTTCTTAACAAATTTAAGCAACGAGATATGAACCTAAATTATCATTTAAAAAAATGAAATAAAATTTAGGAAAGAGAGATTGTTCTTTTGGAGATTATAGTTGCAAACTAACTGAAGAAGTTCGTAAGTGTTCAATCAGCTACAACGTAAAAAAAAAAAAAATGAAAGTTAAGGAAAAAAATGAATGCAAATATAATCTTCGGAAGGAGTGATGAACATTTAATCAGTTTAAGAGTGTAGACAGAAATTTAAATTACTGCATTAGCTTTTGTTGCCATTGTTGTTGGCATCACGAGAAGTATCTTAAGTTGTAGTTCATTTCTTTTCATGCACAGTGTACTTTTACTGACACTATATGTGGAAATTATTTTGGGTTACCAAAATATTACACGAAACGTTTTACAGTGTTAGTGCTTTAAGAGCCCTTAATATACTCACTTACATAACCATTTATACATAATATTTGTCCTAGGAAGATTTATGTAGTTGCACAAAGTAGAAAATAACGGTAGGAATTAATAATACAGTTTAGGACCTAAAATATGTAGGAATAGGTCAAATATAGTAGTATTAGATAGCCAGCGTTTCAAATTCGAACTAAATCAGTTAGAATACGCTAGCTAGTTCAGTTACGAATCACTAGTCAACGAGAGTGAATGTGCTAATTGAGTGGCCAGACAACCGGCATAACTTACTTGGGTAGAGGAGCTACTAGGACAACGAAGCTTCCTCAAACACCGAGGATACCTATTAGTATCCAGACTCTACGTTTCTGTCAGCATTATTGGCCAATTTTTCTGCTGGAGCGTGTATTGAGAACGTTTTAGCTGGGAGATTTTGGCGGATGCACAACTCCAAAGCCCGTCATTTCTGAGGTACCGAGAGTAAGGAAGTGTAGCCCTCCTTCATTCAAGTAAGTTGACTTGCCTTGTACTGTTAGGTATTACATAAAATTTCGTGAAATTTTCTTGCACGAGCCACTGGCGTGCCTGAGTTAATATCTGGGGATGTCTGTGTCAACAGTTTTAGCTAAATTTGCTGCACGCTAGGAGGCAGTTCGCCAAAAAAAAAATCCACATTATATTTGAGAATACATTTTTTTAATACATTTCGTTTCCTCAGTTAAACTCGAAAGATTTTTGTGTTGTTAGAGAAAAGAGCTATGCTGCCTCAACTTCTTCCGAAGTCAGGCTCGAACAAATAGGGGAAACCTGTAAGGTAAGCCTCATACCCCAGGATGCAACCTGCAACAGTCTGTCATATAATTAATGGTATACAATACCGACAAGTTGACAGATTCATCTATAGAAGTCTAATAAAATATGCTTGTTTCGAACAAGAGTGGTGGATATAAGGAGACTCGCATACTTCTTGCCCAATCCAGGATTCGAACTTAGGACCTTTCATTAATTAGCCAGAGATAATTTTTGATGTCCCATGTCCACGTGTGTGTTACAGTGGCGCCCATGAAGGCAGGGGGTGACGGAACGGCACTTGGACTGGCGGAGCCGATTGTCTGCCCTGGGACTCACCTGCGCAGAAGTTACTGGTGATACCGAGCACGACGACATATCCGTCATCAGGAACTCTCAGGTCCGTACTTGTAGAAGCAGTAGCAAGTTCGAGTGTCAGTAGCGTGTTCAGAAACATTCAGATATATTTTCAGTATGCATTTCAAGACGAACCCGTATAGGGGGATCCCTTGATGCTACTGAAGGACATCGAAACGTCATCTAAAAATTTATCTTCAATAGTGGGTCAGTTATGAATTGTTCCATATGCGGTATTGATTTTTTTATTCTTTAGCAAGTTATAATGTTTCATGCAGGTGGTGCTGACGACACCGGAAAAATGGGATTCCCTCACCCGCCGCTGGAGGGACCACGCATCCGTTATGCAGGCTGTTTCTCTTCTCCTCATTGATGAAGTAAGTAAAAAAAAAGATAAAAGTTGCAGAACCACCTTTCATTGGGATAGACACCATAGATAAATGTTGCCCTATTAAAAGCTTGTTCTGAAGTGTATTATTCAGTGTTGTCTGCAGTACGCCATTCGGATCTATGAAGTGAGTTGTTAATTTATTCGTCACGCTTAACATACACTTCCTTCATGTGGGCACCCTGATGTTGAAGTCCAAAAGATGGGATGGAAGAAGTAAAATATTAAAAGAACCTTAACGAGAAACCCCAGTATTTTTCCCCCTTTTTTTTTCCTCTTCGAAGGTATGGGTTCCTACAGTTGCACTGTAGGCAGACCCCACCTGAAAGAGGGGTGAGGATGTTGCAGTTTGGAGAGCCATCTGAACTGTGATGTCAGCACCCTTCTAGCAAGACAACGATTGAATGAATCATAACGAATGTATTTCCTCGTTTTTACTCACTACAGTGTAGGTAAGGAGAAGCAGTGAGCAGAATGGGAATGGGACATGGGGGCAGTGACCCCCAGAAGTGTCTACAGTTAAACTACAGGTATATTAGAATTTTTTTTTTACACTAATTAAACTAGCCGGCATTATTGACTGTCATCCAGAAGGTGCACGCACCTCAGGTTAAGAACCACTAAGCTAAGTCGCTCTTATTTTCTTGATCACCAAGCTCTTTATGTAGTGCATGATTGTATAAATTCTTATTACTTCTTTATTGCTGCATTAAGGTAAAATGATACAGATAATATAATCAAAATTGTAAGCTATTGAAACCACCGAAGATGGTTTGAATGAACTCGAACATAATTATAAATCCTTCAAGGGGGAAAGGAAGAAAGGGTCTCTTGATCCCGCCGAAGGGCTTTGGGCCCGGTGAAATGCAGCAGCTACTCTTCCTTTCATTGGATCTATTTCATTACTCCCCATTCCTGACTAGGCTCTATGATCCATATGGGTTTAGCACTCCCATGAAATTAATAATATAACAAAAATAAGAACAACAATAATTGTAAATTAAGCGCACAGTATCGTAAATCATGTGAAGGGTAAAATTTACTGTGGCAGATAATAAAATTTTAATATATTGTTGTTTTACTTAAAACTGTAAAGAAATTTCGCGGAATCAAATATTTTTAATATGTACAAAAAGTGTAAATGTTTATAATGTGATACAGTGTCTGTGTGCTTATAGGATGTGAAACAGTCTTGGTTTCGTTATGTGATACAAAATGACATGGTTATAAGTCGTGGTACACAAGGTCTCTAAGTGATGTTGTTACTGATGTTTATAGGTACATTTGCTGAACGATGAGAACCGCGGACCCACTCTAGAGGCTGTCGTGTCCCGCATGAAGACCATTCGATCCACCCGACCCAACACGGATAATAGCAATGTTGCCCTCAGGTAACAAGAAAATTCTCTCTCTTACTTACATAATATGTTTTGTTGTCTCCATGTGGGTTCATATGTGCCGCATGTATTGTTTAATGTAATATTAGTTTAAAAATTTCCGTCTATTGGGGGAAAATAATGTACATATCTTGCTTGAGGTTCATTGCTGTGTCTGCGACGATCCCCAACATAGAAGATGTGGCGGCCTGGCTCTCGGATGAACACGGTCCCGCGGTAGCACACAAGTAAGCTGTTGTCTTTGTAAGCTATTTGTATGAAACGCTAAAACTGTATGTGTAATTCAGCCCTAACCGCGGCTCAGTCTCTGATAAGTTAGGCTGTTTGGGACAAAGTCCGGTGATGAATGCGAGGATCTTAAGTCAAGGTGCGTAATGAGCTTCCTTTGGCAGTGCTGGAAGCATTGGCTTTTGCATAACGAAGACATTCTCTTTTGACCTTTTTTTAACGGGAAGCTAACCAATTGCACCAACTTTGATCTAAATTTTATTCCTACACAAACCCCCTCCCCCTCCAGTAACCCTTGCACATTCCTACTATCGCACATCCCTCCCTGCAGCGCTGCAGGTTGTGTTGAAATTTATATATTATTATTATTATTATTATTATTTCGAATAAGTTTATTTCTTCATATCATATTTTACTCAAACTGACATTCACTTCTAAAGCTCACGTATAACATACTGGAGTAGTTACATTGTATAAGGAGTGAGTTGTGAAATTGTTTAACAGGATTGTCAGCAACTCATGGAACGGGCAGGATTCAAACTCATGGTAAACTAGTCCTAAAACAAGGACTGCTGGTTTTAGGGCTGGCATGCCATGGGTTAGTGAATTATATAAGGAGCTTATGACGATGATTGTTCTAGAGGAGGTGCCTCGATGCTGGCGAAGAGCTCTTGATGCAAGGAATTGGAGCTACTCTCCTTGGATCAAACCTGATTACCTCACATTCCCCAGGCGCTGTATGATATGATCCCCTGCTAGTTTAGCGCTTTCCCATAATCTTGATATTTATGACGGTGATCAGCTCGATGCAAGAATGGGAACGTCAGATCCAGCTCCTTGGATCAAACTCAAATTATATAACCATATTTCATTGATGTAGAGAGTGCAAATCAACGTCATTTTCAGTTGTTTTAAATTAATACACAACAATAACAATGCTGAGTATTATGATAATGCAAAAATACTGGATCATAAAAATCCATCTGATATTGTAATAACTCAGTAATTGAGAACTGGTAAAAGTAGATTAATTAACAGGCATTTTTTAAATGAAATGCTAAACACTTCAAATCAGTTAGGTTACTTAAACAGCACGGGATGGCTTGCCTCGGGTGAGCCGGTTTATAGGGCAGGTGTCCTGCCACTGTACCAGTAACATTATTATTATTATTATGATAAATATTATTCTCCATGGGGAAGTGGAACAGAATTCTTCCTCCGTAAGCCATGCGTGTCGTAAGAGGCGACTAAATTGCCAGGAACAAGGGACTAGTAACCCCTTATCCTGTATACATTACTAAAGTTGAAAAGAGAAATTTTTGTTTTTCTTTTTGGGCCTCCCTGTTTCGGTGGGATACAGCCGGTTTGTTGAAAGAAAAGAAGAAATATTATTGTGGGGAAAGCCTAAACAGCGGGGTTATAAAACGCCAGAGGAATGGAAGGTCTACAGGTTTGATCAAAGGAAGGAAAGAGTAATTCTCATTCCTTAGTTCAAGGAATTGGATTTTTTTTTTTTGCAATGCTTGTAATATTGACTTATAAAGCAAGGATGGGTTGGTGCAGGTTGGAGGAGGCTCTGCGACCAGTGAAGCTTCGCCAAGTTGTACTAGGATATGAGAGCCGGGAGTCCTGGAGTGAGTTTCGCTTTGACCTCTCCCTCAACTACCGCCTCCCATCCGTCATCAGCACTTACAGTGATAACAAGCCAACCCTGGTCAGTCTCCCTACTCTCATTGATTTGTTCTAACCCAGCAGTAGACATAGTAATTCTGTTCATGTATGGAATGTTTATTTCAGCACCAGAAAAGTACATATTATAGCCGAAAAGAACCTTTACGTATAGGTTTAATTTAATACCTGTTTTTCAGAAAAATTAATCTTTGCACATTTAAAACATGCGGCGCATTTTATTTCAATAGTGTATAATAGACTATCTACCGTGTGGTTTGTGACCAATATCTTCTGACTTGGCCGGTGGATGAAGGTCTTCGTGTCGACCAGGAAGGCTGCACAATCAACTGCGACAACGCTGACGAAGGAGGCGCGGCTGGTGAGGGACTCTGCCCACAAACAGATACTAAGCGCTGTCGCCAATTCCCTCAGGGACAACAAACTCAGAGGTAATTTGATACTTCTCGCATTCGTGAATATGAAATCTCATCAATGAAATATATATATATATATATATATATATATATATATATATATATATATATATATATATTATATATATATATATATATATATATATATATATATTATATATATATATTATTATATATATATTATATATATATATATATATATTATATATATATATATATATATATATATATTTTTTTTTTTTTTTTTTTTTCAACAAGTCGGCCGTCTCCCACCGAGGCAGGGTGACCCAAAAAAGAAAGAAAATCCCCAAAAAGAAAATACTTTCATCATCATTCAACACTTTCACCACACTCGCACATTATCACTGTTTTTGCAGAGGTGCTCAGAATACAACAGTCTAGAAGCATACACATATAAAGATACACAACATATCCCTCCAAACTGCCAATATCCCAAACCCCTCCTTTAAAGTGCAGGCATTGTACTTCCCATTTCCAGGACTCAAGTCCGACTATATGAAAATAACCGGTTTCCCTGAATCCCTTCACTAAATATTACCCTGCTCACACTCCAACAGATCGTCAGGTCCCAAGTACCATTCGTCTCCATTCACTCCTATCTAACACGCTCACGCACGCTTGCTGGAAATCCAAGCCCCTTACCCACAAAACCTCCTTTACCCCCCTCTCTCCAACCCTTTCGAGGACGACCCCTACCCCGCCTTCTTCCCCTATAGATTTATATGCTTTCCATGTCATTCTACTGTGATCCATTCTCTCTAAATGACCAAACCACCTCAACAACCCCTCTTCTGCCCCCTGACTAATACTTTATTTAACTCCACACCTTCTCCTAATTTCCACACTCCGAATTTTTTGCATAATATTTACACCACACATTGCCCTTAGACAGGACATCTCCGCTGCCTCCAACCGTCTCCTTGCTGCTGCATTTACCACCCAAGCTTCACACCCATATAAGAGTGTTGGTACTACTATACTTTCATACATTCCCTTCTTTGCCTCCATAGATAACGTTTTTTGACTCCACATATACCTCAACGCACCACTCACCTTTTTTCCCTCATCAATTCTATGATTAACCTCATCCTTCATAAATCCATCCGCCGACACGTCAACTCCCAAGTATCTGAAAACATTCACTTCTTCCATACTCCTCCTCCCCAATTTTGATATCCAATTTTTCTTATCTAAATCATTTGACACCCTCATCACCTTACTCTTTTCTATGTTCACTTTCAATTTTCTACCTTTACACACATTCCCAAACTCATCCACTAACCTTTGCAATTTTTCTTTAGAATCTCCCATAAGCACAGTATCATCAGCAAAAAGTAACTGTGTCAATTCCCATTTTGAATTTGATTCCCCATAATTTAATCCCACCCCTCTCCCAAACACCCTAGCATTTACTTCCTTTACAACCCCATCTATAAATATATTAAACAACCATGGTGACATTACACATCCCTGTCTAAGACCTACTTTTACCGGGAAGTAGTCTCCCTCTCTTCTACACACCCTAACCTGAGCCTCACTATCCTCATAAAAACTCTTTACAGCATTTAATAACTTACCACCTATTCCATATACTTGCAACATCTGCCACATTGCTCCTCTATCCACTCTATCATATGCCTTTTCTAATCCATAAATGCAATAAAAACCTCCCTATCTTTATCTAAATACTGTTCACATATATGCTTCAATGTAAACACCTGATCTACACTTCCCCTACCCACTCTAAAACCTCCTTGCTCATCCGCAATCCTACATTCTGTCTTACCTCTAATTCTTTCAATTATAACCCTACCGTACACTTTTCCTGGTATACTCAGTAAGCTTATTCCTCTGTAATTTTTACAGTCTCTTTTGTCCCCTTTCCCTTTATATAAAGGGACTATACATGCTCTCTGCCAATCCCTAGGTACCTTCCCCTCTTTCATACATTTATTAAAAAAAGTATCAACCACTCCAACACTATATCCCCCCCTGCTTTTAACATTTCTGTCATGATCCCATCAGTTCCAGCTGCTTTACCCCCCTTTCATTTTACGTAATGCCTCACGTACCCCCCCCACACTTACATTCTGCTCTTCTTCACTCCTAAAAGATGGTATACCTCCCTGACCAGTGCATGAAATTACTGCCTCTGTTTCTTCCTTAACATTTAAAAGTTCCTCAAAATATTCTCGCCATCTACCCAATACCTCCATCTCCCCATCTACTAACTCCCCTACTCTGTTTTTAACTGACAAATCCATATTTTCCCTAGGCTTTCTTAACTTGTTTAACTCGCTCCAAAATTTTTTCTTATTTTCATTAAAATTTCTTGACAGTGCCTCTCCCACTCTATCATCTGCTCCCCTTTTTTGCACTCTCTCACCACTCTCTTTACCTTTCTTTTACTCTCCATATACTCTGCTCTTCTTATAACACTTCTGCTTTGTAAAAACCTCTCATAAGCTACCTTTTTCTCTTTTATCACACCCTTTACTTCATCATTCCACCAATCACTCCTCTTTCCTCCTGCCCCCACCCTCCTATAACCACAAACTTCTGCCCCACATTCTAATACTGCATTTTTAAAACTATTCCAACCCTCTTCAACCCCCCCACTACTCATCTTTGCACTAGCCCACCTTTCTGCCAATAGTCGCTTATATCTCACCCGAACTTCCTCCTCCCTTAGTTTATACACTTTCACCTCCCTCTTACTTGTTGTTGCCACCTTCCTCTTTTCCCATCTACCTCTTGCTCTAACTGTAGCTACAACTAAATAATGATCCGATATATCAGTTGCCCCTCTATAAACATGTACATCCTGGAGCCTACCCATCAACCTTTTATCCACCAATACATAATCTAATAAACTACTTTCATTACGTGCTACATCATACCTTGTATATTTATTTATCCTCTTTTTCATAAAATATGTATTACTTATTACCAAATTTCTTTCTACACATAGCTCAATTAAAGGCTCCCCATTTACATTTACCCCTGGCACCCCAAATTTACCTACTACTCCCTCCATAACATTTTTACCCACTTTAGCATTAAAATCCCCAACCACCATTACTCTCACACTTGATTCAAAACTCCCCACGCATTCACTCAACATTTCCCAAAATCTCTCTCTCTCCTCTACACTTCTCTCTTTCTCCAGGTGCATACACGCTTATTATAACCCACTTTTCACATCCAATCTTTATTTTGCTCCACATAATCCTTGAATTAATACATTTATAGTCCCTCTTTTCCTGCCATAGCTTATCCTTCAACATTATTGCTACTCCTTCTTTAGCTCTAACTCTATTTGAAACCCCTGACCTAATCCCATTTATTCCTCTCCACTGAAACTCTCCCACCCCCTTCAGCTTTGTTTCACTTAAAGCCAGGACATCCAGCTTTTTCTCATTCATAACATCCACAATCATCTCTTTCTTATCATCTGCACAACATCCACGCACATTCAGACTTCCCACTTTGACAATTTTCTTCTTCTTATTCTTTTTAGTTAATCTTTACAGGAAAAGGGGTTACTAGCCCATTGTTCCCGGCATTTTAGTTGACTTTTACAACACGCATGGCTTACGGAGGAAAGATTCTTATTCCACTTCCCATGGATATAAAAGGAAAATTAATAAGACCAAGAACTATTAAGATAAAATCAAAGAAAACTCAGATGAGTGTGTATAAATAAATGTGTACATGTATGTGTAGTGTGACCTAAGTGTAAGTAGAAGTAGCAAGACATGCCTGTAATCTTGCATATTTATGAGACAGACAAAAGACATCAGCAATCCTACCATCATGTAAAACAATCACAGGCTTCGTTTTACACTCACTTGGTAGGACGGTAGTACCTCCCTGGGTGGTTGCTGTCTACCAACCTACTACCTATATATATATATATATATATATATATATATATATATATATATATATATATATATATATATATATATATATATATATATATATATATATATATATATATAATGGAAAAATTACACACACACACAAACGTTGTTAACAATCCTATTCATGTTATCTAATTAATTTTTAAAACTAAAACTTTACCTAAATCTGATTAAAGACATTTCATTGAACATTATTGTTCATGTGAGTTATATATAGGAAAAAAATCAACATAGGTGAGGTGAGTGTCTTGGTTGCAGAATGTGTGTTGTGTGGGGTTGGATATCACCATGCCGGACTGGAAACCACTGACCGCCATCAACTTGAAGAACTCTTCATGGACGGCCAACTTCCCGTTCTTGTTGCCACCAGCACCCTCGGTGAGCACCACACATTGTTAACTGTACCTAGGTTTGTACCTACATACATACATGGAGTCGACAGACTTTAATACCCTAAGTTTATAAGTAGGTAAATAATTTATTTATCAGCCATGGGTGTGAACTTGCCGGCGCACCTGGTGGTGATAAAGTCGACGGAGCAGTACGTGGGTGGCGCCTACCAGGAGTACTCTGCTGCCCAGCTGCTGCAGATGATGGGTCGCGCTGGCAGGCCTCAGTTCGACACCCACGCTACTGCTGTCATCATGACTAAGAACCAGCACAAGGTAAGCCACCATTCAACGGAAGTGGCTTGATGCTAATGTAACGCTCTCGATTCATGGAAATGGAGTTACTCCCGTTCCTCTAATCAAACCTGATTATTTCCTATTCTCAGGCGCTGTATGACTACGAATTTAGCGCTTTCCAAAGAATATAATAGTAACAATAATAATACTCAGTTAAGTCATGGGTCAACATGTGCGAGTGTAAGTCGGTTGGTTGGTAAGGTTTGCCAGGAAACAGGACAAGTGCTTCCTGACGCAGGTCTTAGTGATATGATGACTCACAACTGGAGCTTTTGGTCATCTGACCGAAGCCGTTCCACCCCCTTTAAAAAATTATGGTCATAGTTATAACATTTCTGTTCCTGCGAGTGTAAGGCACTCTTAATCGAAGTAAGGAATTCACGTTGTTCATTTTATGTTTTGGAAAAAGATAAAGAGGGGGAAATATCCATGGAAGTAGAACTTTTTTCATTTTTTATTCCTTATATAGATTGTCAGTAACTTAAGGGGGGCGTTGACCCCCGGAACACCCTCCAAGTATACTCCAGGTAATACCTAGAAAACTTGACACATTCCAGGTTAAATCATGTTACATATGTTGCTGATATGGTTGCTACGGTGCAGGGAAGATGCCTTAACTATTATGAGCTCGAAAAGGCGTCAGGGCGGGTGAACACAACGATCAGAAAGAATACGGTGGAGTAAGGAGCAAGAGTACCAATACTGATAATACCAGCAGATGACATCTCAGCCTTCATGACAACTTAGCCTAGTAGCTTCTTTAGTGAGACTACATAAACCTTTGACTTGTATCATGACAATATAATTCAGAGTTGTTAGGTTTCATACACTTTTTTAGAAGCCTAGCCCTGTCCAAGGTGCGACCTACAGCAGTCGGGTAAAACCAGTTACATACTTATATACCACTAGGCGAACACGTGTAAGGTTTCAAATATGCCCAATGTCTCCATCCCATGATCAAACCTGTGGAAAATACTGTATATATTTTCCAGAAATTCAGTATTTATATGTAAATAGATGGCCATACTGTATTTAATAATATTTATGTCATAGAAAACGGAAAGCCTGCGTCTGCGCAGACGGTACTCGCCATCTTGGTTTTGAAATTTGTACAAACGTTGGTGTAATGGGAAGAATTTTTGCGCTCTAGAGGTTAAAATTGGGCTGACACCTCTCAAATAGGAGGCGAAATTGGCGGATATGCATTCCTGCATAACTTGAGATATCAGGCGACTGGACAAGACTCCAGGAACCTCAGATAAGCTCTCTAGATTTGTGTGTAATTCTGGCCAGCATTATTTTCATAGATTTAGTTAGTGAGGTTTACTGAGTATGATACACATTAATCTCCAGTCAAATTGGTGAGTGATATTAAGATATATTTTCCTTCTGTTATGTAATTGTGTATATATATAACCATTTATTATTTTTAACATACAGTCCACAAAATTTATATATTTACCAGTATTCCTGGTTATACATATTTCATTGGTAATTAATAGGTCCAGAGGAACTTGTGGATATGACAGTAGTAGGTATCGAAGGGGGACATTTTTTGCGACCTAGGTGTCCCAAATTCCTACATGTCTAACTGATAAATAATAATTATCTTTTCATTTACTGTTATGTATATAATGATACATTCAGATAAATGCAATTTTCCACAAAACCCGGGTTCTATGATTGTGAACCGAAGGTGCTACTAATGATCAACGAAACTTCTAGTCAGTATTATGTAAGAGGTGAACACTTAGCCCGAAAGATTCTATACAGATTCTATATTACCTCCATAATACTACCACTACTAATAGTACTCAAGAGGTTATAACAAAATCTTTTAAATTGAAAAAAACACAAAGAGTTACTTATAGAAAGGTTAGTTACAAGTTAAACTGTGTGCTTACAAATAGTGTATTTTTATTGTGCTTTTTAGATAATCATATACTGTACATCCTAATGTATTCTTTTTCCAATTAATGCTGATGAACCTTTAAATATATAAAAGTAGTTTTTATTTTTATTTATAATGGACAGATTTTAGTAACTTTGAACACTAAGAAGTGTGAAATTAAGTAAGAAAGGGTTAAAAAAAAAACACTAACATTAAGAATGCATTAATCCCTAAAATAGGGGTTAAAGTATACTGTCATTGTATACACCAAGACACATAACTGTCGGTGTATAATATAATCTAGCTGGCGTAGGGAAAAACATAGTATAGAGGGTCCTGCAGACGTAGATGGTGAGCTTCAAGCTGTATAAATCCAACTACAGCGCCTCGGGCACTCGTGACTATCCCTAGTGACCCACTGGGGCTGGTTGGTGCCGTGTTGCTGGTGAAGGGCTCGTGATATCCCCTTCTTAGGATCAAACATGATTACTTCCCTCTCCCAGACGCTGTATGTTTATAATTAGAGGCATAGGAGTGTTCTTGTTAGGAAAGGAGGTTTGTATCGAAGGGATGCCACTTATAATGATGTTTGCTAGGAGCATTGTTCATTTTAAGAAGGATGTCGTCAAGGAAGTTGAGAATATGCAAAGTCCTCGAGACGCGTTCGTGGAACATGTGAGGGTGATCTATCTGCGACCGTAGTAAGGTGAGCCCCAACTAGGAGAGTAGTTGTTCTCGTATGTGATGGTGGGCACAAAGCCGGAGTCACCGTCTACGTAGTAGGTGACCTTCATGAGGCGATTGTCAGGGAGCAACACGTGATAGGAGCCCTCTACGCGGCCGTTGGTCGCCACCTCCTTTTGCCCATAGAAGTTGGCATACTCCTGGTCGTTCACCTCCCACTGGAAGTCGTACTGCACCACAACAACACAATTAGTAAAACTTCGTACAATTCACAAACAAGTAATAAATTGGAAATAAAAGCTAAACGTTTCTGTCCAGTTTCTGAAACAAGTCCAATTTTTCGTTTCCAAACACTGGATTAGCTAGAGTGAAAAGTTGGTACTTCAACTTCAGTAAGATACATTTTGCTGCTTATAGATAAGAGTAACTGGAAATGTGCAAAAACGATACTGGTGTTGCAAAATTAAGATGTCAAGTTCTGATTATGTTACATTGGCCAAGACTCGAGCCTATGATTATGTTTTAGTGGCTAAGATTCAAGGCTCTCATTATACTGTAGTGGTTATATTACACTGAGTGTCAGAGTATCGGTAATGTAAACATACGAAGAGCGGTTCTTACATTCATAGGAGCATTTTGCTGTTGTAGTGGCTGGAGTTGTTTGCCGCGTCCACCACCGCCGCCGTAGTTCTGCGGCAGCGCCACCACCAGCGTGACTGCCAGGCTCAGGAGGATCACCAAACGCTCACACATGGCTGCCCAATACATACATATTACCCTTGCGCCACAAAGTTATAATGGGCCAACCAATCCGCATTTTACATCATTTCTTTTCTAATTCGTGTACGTGTCTGTTTCTAAGCCATTGAAAATACCGGCCAGATAATTCTATATAAAAACTAGTTTTTAGAATATACTGTATTACTTTAACGTTAATTAACTAAAATTTATATGTTTAGGAAACTCGGCTTTCAATTCTGGTCTTCGTATTACATAATGGACATAAATGCGCTGGAAAAATATGCAGAGAAGGATGAAGTTGATCTCGTGTATCAAAAATCTTTCCTACAAAGATAGACTGAAGGCTCTGATTTTGCATTCTCTGGAAAGGTATAGAATTTGGGGAGATGATTGAAATGTACAAGTGGAAGACAGGAATACATAAATAATGTACTGAAAATATTTAACCAAGACAGGACTGCCAGTAGTAGACCCAAGATTTAGAATGGTTAGGTTGGGTAAGGTTCGTCAGGAAACAGGACAAGTGTTTCCTGACGCGGGTCTTAGTCAGATGACCCGCAGCTAGAGCTTTTGGACATCTGACCGAGACCTGCTGGCTTACCGGTCCACCCCTTTAAAAATTATGGTCATAGTTATAACCATTTGTAGTAACTGTAGATGAATCAAACAAATTCCCAGGTAGCGTTACTGGGGTGAGAACTTTGCGTAGCTGTAAACACAAGTTGGATGGGTATACGAATAGGTGTGCTTGGGTATGAGATGGACCTGTTTAGTATGGGACAGTAGGCTTGCTGCAGTGTCTCTTCATTCTTTTGTTTTTATGTACATTAAAATCACAAATGCTCAAAATATAAAAACTAAACGCAATTAAACAGTCACTTTTTTGCGTCGACCTACTTTCAGTCGACGGGGCCACCTTTGCGTAATATTCACTTATTACAGCACTTCGAGAGTTGTAATTACAAAAGTCACGGTTGTGTAATCACCTGAATATAATAAGTAAAAATACACAAAATCAAAATGTTTAAAAATACATATTTTTTTTTTAAGCTGTTCGGTTTATTCGACCGACTTGGCTTTTTTGCATAAAAAATGGACGAGCTTTAAGCGAGTTGTTGAATGAATGTTATTTGTCAGAGATGGAGCGCGTGGTGAGTCACTAGCAATATAGTCACTGGGAATCAATATATTTTATGTTATAAGTGCTTATACGCAATATATGACAAGAGTATTAGATACTTACGTAAATGGCAACATTGATAAATACAGGCAGTATACAAGGGTAACCCTGAGGGTTAGCTATCGAGGATAGTAGTCTGCGCATCTTATTTTCACTGGGGTCCTTTCATCTTCCCCAGAATGCGACCCACAACAGTCGACTAACACCCAGGTACTTACTGTTAAGTGAACAGGGGGCCGTAGATGTATGCAAACATGCACAATGATTCGCCCGTGCTGGGATCGATCCCCAGTCCCTTAGTGTGTAAGGTGAGCACGCTATCAGTCGAGCCACTTAACAAGATGTAAACTCATTTGACATGAGTCGTTATCCTAAGGTACCAACACCAGTGTTGAGGATTCCCAGCAAGTTTAATAACATACGAAGGTTGGGGAGTTAATTAATGGCCACATGAGGAGCCACTGCAGCAGCGACGTTGGCTTACCGGCGTTAGACTCAGTTGGCGGATTGATTACTTGTACGCTGGCACCCCTCGCTACAACTTCTACTGCACTTCACTGAGTGAGACCTTTCGGGAGTTTACCTTTTGCTGTTAGTACAGTGGCACACTTGTTGTGGATGCGTGAGATTTCAGCGGCACCCACTGTTATATACAGACGTGCTAGGTGACGTCACGACCTTCAGATGGCTGTGATGACGCAGGGCGGAGCCTCTGTGCAGGTCCGGGTCACCGTTAGCCAATGAACGTGCTTGGTTAGCCTCGTCTTCATAGTGGCAGCGAATGGCTGACTCAGCTGTCCACGTCATCTCTCCCCTACATTCCAGCAATGTGCTCAAGTGAGCATCTTGACGTTTTTTACCCTCAGCCTCACCCATCATTCTGTTAACGCATTTATTACGCATCTTGGGGTTGTTGATCATCCCGTGAGCTGAGATGCTAACCAGCCTCCTGACTAAGATCATGCCATGAAACAATCGAGACAGTCACTATGAAAAAAAAAAACCATTTTGCATCATCTAGCCTCTTCGTAGGTGCAATGTTACTATGTAACATTGCACCTACGTGACGTGTATATATAAGAGCTTGTAGCGTACCGTCTCCTATTAATTAATTTATCAAACATTTCTTTTTAATTTCCTGTGATTTATGGGTGTAATTTCGTATTTGAAGAATATAATCTCAGTGGTTGCAACAGGTCAGAAATAACCCAAACTTTGTCAAGAGAAACATGAAGACATTTCGAATCTTTTCTGGAGCATTGCCAAGTATCAACTGGGACAGTCATCACATTTAGGAAGGTACATTGGTACTGGTGAGAGGCTTATGATCCAAGGAATTGGACCTATTTTCCCTTTGGGTGCTGTATGACCCTTACGGATGTACGCTTCCCCATAAAATTAAAAATAGTAATCCGGCTTATGAGGGCATTGGTACAGGACAGGACGAAACTTCGTTAAAAAAAATCGTCGAAACGGTGGTTATTCGTGAATTTTTCTTAGGGTTTATATAGGTTGAGCTGCAGCTCTGGGACTGAAATCTTAACCTTCGATTGATTTCCGGGATTTAACAGTATTGTATTTACTTTCACATCAAATGTATGAAGTAGACTTGTAATTTGTCAAGGGTGCTTTCTTACATTAAATAATTGCTTCAGTTTTTTCTGACTTGTTATAACCGGGAGGGATATTTTAAAGTTTTGCTAGTTTATATTTGTCTCAGCTGCTGGCTTTTCAGGTAGTTTAAAAAATGCTTCTTACACTCGTGTCAAAACGTAAAACAAAATTATGGTAAGTCACTTTAAACCTGGTATCTAGATACCGCAGAGTTGCGATCATTATATATATATATATATATATATTATATATATATATATATATATATATATATATATATATATATATATAATATATATATATATATAATATATATATATATATATATGTATATATGTATATATATATATATATATATATATATATATATATATATATATATATATTTTATATATATATATATATATATATATATATAGTATATATATATATATATATATATATAATATATATATATATATTATATATATATATATATAATATATATATATACACAACAGCTTAGAAGCATATACGTATAAAGATACACAACATATCCCTCCAAACTGCCAATATCCCAAACCACTCCTTTAAAGTGCAGGCATTGTACTTCCCATTTCCAGGACTCAAGTCCGACTATATGAAAATAACCGGTTTCCCTGAATCCCTTCACTAAATATTACCTGCTCACACTCCAACAGATCGTCAGGTCCCAAGTATCATTCGTCTCCATTCACTCCTATCTAACACGCTCATGCACGCTTGCTGGAAGTCCAAGCCCCTTGCCCACAAAACCTCCTTTACCCCCTCTTTAGAAATCTTTCGAAGACGACCCCTACCCCTCCTTCCTTCCCCTATAGATTTATATGCTTTCCATGTCATTCTACTTCGATCCATTCTCTCTAAATGACCAAACCACCTCAACAACCCTCTTCTGCCCTCTGACTAATGCTTTTATTAACTCCACACCTTCTCCTAATTTCCACACTCCGAATTTTCTGCATAATATTTACACCACACATTGCCCTTAAACAGGACATCTCCACTGCCTCCAACCGTCTCCTCGCTGCTGCATTTACCACCCAAGCTTCACATCCATATAAGAGTGTTGGTACTACTATACTTTCCTACATTCCCTTCTTTGCCTCCATAGATAACGTTTTTTGACTCCACATATACTTCAACGCACCACTCACCTTTTTTCCCTCTCAATTCTATGATTAACCTCTTCCTTCATAAATCCATCCGCCGACATGTCAACTCCCAAGTATCTGAAAACATTCACTTCTTCCATACTCCTCCTCCCCAATTTGATATCCAATTTTTCTTTATCTAAATCATTTGATACCCTCATCACCTTACTCTTTTCTATGTTCACTTTCAACTTTCTACCTTTACACACATTCTCAAACTCATCCACTAACCTTTGCAATTTTTCTTTAGAATCTCCCATAAGCACAGTATCATCAGCAAAAAGTAACTGTGTCAATTCCCATTTTGAATTTGATTCCCCATAATTTAATCCCACCCCTCTCCCGAACACCCTAGCATTTACTTCTTTTACAACCCCATCTATAAATATATTAAACAACCATGGTGACATTACACAACCCTGTCTAAGACCTACTTTTACCGGGAAGTAGTCTCCCTCTCTTCTACACACCCTACCCTGAGCCTCAATATCCTCATAAAAGCTCTTTACAGCATTTAGTAACTTACCACCTATTCCATATACTTGCAACATCTGCCACATTGCTCCTCTATCCACTCTATCATATGCCATTTCTAAATCCATAAATGCAATAAAAACTTCCCTACCTTTATCTAAATACTGTTCACATATATGCTTAAATGTAAACACTTGATCTACACATCCCCTACCCACTCTGAAGCCTCCCTGCTCATCCGCAATCCTACATTCTGTCTTACCTCTAATTCTTTCAATTATAACCCTACCTTATACTTTTCCTGGTATACTCAGTAAACTTATTCCTCTATATTTTTTACAATCTCTTTTGTCCCCTTTCCCTTTGTATAAAGGGACTATACATGCTCTCCGCCAATCCCTAGGTACCTTCCCCTCTTTCATACATTTATTAAACAAAAGTACCAACCACTCCAACACTATATCCCCCCCTGCTTTTAAACATTTTCTGTCATGATCCCATCAGTTCCAGCTGCTTTACCCCCTTTCATTCTACGTAATGCCTCACGTACCTCCACCACACTTACATTCTGCTCTTCTTCACTCTTTAAAGATGGTATACCTGCCTGGCCAGTGCATGAAATTACCGCCTCCCTTTCTTCCTCAACATTTAAAAGTTCCTCAAAATATTCTCGCCATCTACCTAATACCTCCGTCTCCCCATCTACTAACTCCCCTACTCTGTTTTTAACTGACAAATCCATACTTTCCCTAGGCTTTCTTAACTTGTTTAACTCGCTCCAAAAATTTTTCTTATTTTCATTAAAATTTCTTGACAGTGCCTCTCCCACTCTATCATCTGCTCTCCTTTTGCACTCTCTCACCACTCTCTTCACCTTTCTTTTACTCTCCATATACTCTGCTCTTCTTATAACACTTCTGCTTTGTAAAAACCTCTCATAAGCTACCTTTTTCTCTTATCACACCCTTACTTCTCATTCCACCAATCACTCCTCTTCCCTCAAGCCCCCCCCTCCTATAACCACAAACTTCTGCCCCACATTCTAATACTGCATTTTTAAAACTATTCCAACCCTCTCAACCCCCCCACTACTCATTTTTGCACTAGCCCACCTTTCTGCCAATAGTCGCTTATATCTCGCCCGAACTTCCTCCTCCCTTAGTTTATACACTTTCATCTCCCTCTTACTTGTGTTGCCACCTTCCTCTTTCCCATCTACCTCTTACTCTAACTGTAGCTACAACTAAATAATGATCCGATATATCAGTTGCCCCTCTATAAACATGTACATCCTGGAGCCTACCCATCAACCTTTTATCCACCAATACATATCTAACAACTACTTTCATTACGTGCTACATCATACCTTGTATATTATTTATCCTCTTTTTCATAAAATATGTATTACTTATTACCAAATTTCTTTCTACACATAGCTCAATTAAAGGCTCCCCATTTACATTTACCCCTGGCACCCCAAATTTACCTACTGCTTCCTCCATAACATTTTTACCCACTTTAGCATTGAAATCCCCAACCACCATTAACTCTCACACTTGATTCAAAACTCCCCACGCATTCACTCAACATTTCCTAGAATCTCTCTCTCTCCTCTACACTTCTCTCTTCTCCAGGTGCATACACACTTACTATAACCCACTTTTCACATCCAATCTTTATTTTACTCCACATAATCCTTGAATTTATACATTTGTAGTCCCTCTTTTCCTGCCATAACTTATCCTTCAACATTATTGGTACTCCTTCTTTAGCTCTAACTCTATTTGAAACCCCTGACCTAATCCTATTTATTCCTCTCCATTGAAACTCTCCCACCCCCTTCAGCTTTGTTTCACTTAAAGCCAGGACATCCAGTTTCTTCTCATTTATAACATCCACAATCATCTCTTTCTTATCATTTGCACAACATCCACGCACATTCAGACTTCCCACTTTGACAATTTTCTTCTTCTTATTCTTTTAATAATCTTTACGGGAAAAAAGGGGTTACTAGCCCATTGTTCCCGGCATTTTAGTTGACTTTTACAACACGCATGGCTTACGGAGGAAAGATTCTTATTCCACTTCCCCATATATATATATATTATATATATATATATATATATATATATATATATATATATATATATATATATATATATATATATATATATTAATATATATATATATATATATATATATATATATATATGGTTTAGAAAGACACGTAAGCAAACACTATAACATATTTATTAGAAAACGTTTCGGTCCTGGAACCTTGATCACTTCTAACATTGTTAGAAGTGATCAAGGCCCCAGGACCGAAACGTTTTCTAATAAATATGTTATAGTGTTTGCTTACGTGTCTTTCTAAA